GCAGTCCACGACATCTTCGACCAATAATCGACCACACTTTTGCCACAGACTTTAAAGACCAGAATAGCTTTTTTTGTCCTTGGCTGACGGGACGGGATTGGGTTTTCAGGTTTGGGTAAGGATAAGAATGGATTGGCTCGGGGATAGCGATGGCGTAGAAGACAGGGCCTCTCCGGACGCTTTTTTACTTTATGCTGAGCTCGTAAGTGGCCTCTGTAGATTTCAATTTTGAAAAGGCAAGAAAAACTACAATCGCTTAAACTTATTTATACATTTGCTGTTGCGGGAAATAAAAGGTGCCGCCCGTGTGGTAGCAATCGAAACGTTGCATGAAATTATTAATTTGTTATTTTCTGAAATTCTGACGGATCCATGCTGTTACTTTGTCTTTTGATACTGTTGCTCGTTAATGTTTCGATTAGTAATTTAACGTATCTTACTTACGACAACAAATTTAGTTATAAAACCTGAAAGAGAGCCAGTTTCGGCAAGCCAATGCTTATATAAAACGGAAGTCGTTGAAAATAAACTTTGTAATGACTGGTTCAATGCAGTCACTTAGAAAAGGGAAATACAAGAATCATAACTTCGATGTTGTTAAAAAGTCATGCATCCTTTAAGTCATCCTTTTAAAAATTTTTCCCAAGCGAACCATAAACAAATTGTTTAAACATCGAACTTTAACAAATTTGGTAAATTTAAAAACAAGTAAACATACTAACAGTACACTTTGTTGACGACGTTGTGAATATCCGACCGGCAGCACGATAAAATCTTAGTACTACAGATAATAAATGAGTCTGTCTTATCATCCCCGAAAGTTCTAGCTACTAGCTTCCTTTCTTGTTTATAATAAAATGCATATCCTATCTACATGTAGCGCCCTCTACAGTCGCATACTGAAACTTTAATTTACATATGTATATGGTGCATAGTATACTTTTTGGCACCCAATCGAAGCGGACAACAAAGCTACCAATGCACAGTGGTCGGTACCATAGCAGAAAAAATCAATTTTGGAATTTTCATTTCAAATTTGGCGCATCTGTTTATCAATAGAACAAGGCTTTAAAAGCAATTCTTAGTTTTGTTTTGCTCTACATATTCGCGCGCACTTATGCATTGATACATATGCTATATGATTATTAAGTAATTATTAAAAAAAAAAAGGGTTATGTTTTCTGTTTTTAGTTTTTTTTTTTTTTTAGAAAAATTACTTAATAATCATAAAGCATATGTATCAATGCAAAAGTGCGCGCACACTTATATGATTATTAAGTAATATGTAATTATTTGCAAATAAATGAATAATAAATAAAAATATATGAATAAATAATGATTTTGACGCATCTCGGACATTGATTTCTTATGTGCAAAAAGCGTTTTTGCTCAACTCGGATGTTTTTTTTTACCGTTATCGGTTTTCTGCTCATTTCGGACGTTCATTTTTTATGTGCAAAAATCGTTTCTGCTCAACTCGGACATTCATTTTTTATGTCCAAAAAGTGTTTCTGCTCAACTCGGACAATTTTTTGCAATTTTCTGCTCAACTCGGCTAGCCCCAGACCTAGAATATTGAAATGCAACGTGCAAAGGAAAGCGATAAAATAATGCATGAATACAAAATGTTTCACTGCGAGTTTTTCAAAATTTATCTTAATCTTAATAAAAATAACTTTTTGAATATCTATTATCGGAAAGAACTGCTTAATGTCGAGCAAAATGTTTTAAAGCCCAACAACATCAAAGCTATATCGATTTTTAAGATATATTATATTAAAGTTTCAGTCAGCTTGCAACGCTGAGGAGACATCATTCTTGATCAGCATCACGATCTGAACTAAAATACGTATGTACGTCTGTCCCTCTGTCCGTTTCTATATAAACTAGTCTCTTAGTTTTAAAGCTGCCTTGCTGAAATGCAGGGGCGCACAGAGGTAGTCTGGGCCCCGGGGCAAAATTTCAATTTTGGGAGATTGTCAATCCTTACATATCATCATATATAGGTATCATATATAATATCGCGCGGAGCCCCCATAAACCCGGGGCAAATTGCCCCCTTTTACAATTCACACAGACTGGAACTGGAACGGGGCAGATTTTGACTGAGAACGATATGTTAACCCTACCTTTTAGAGGTAAAGGGTTTGAGGTTAATGCTATAGCAAAAAAGCTTTAAAACTGAAAGTCGATCGCGCATTGCATTACACACAGAAAAAATAATAAAAACAAGAAAGGAAGCTAGATTCGGTAAGCCGAAGCTTATATACCCTTGCAGTCATCAAACATGTCGAACAAAATACATAAAGGCTAACAACATCGAAGCTATGACGACTTTTCTATTAATTTTCCATATTTTCGACTATTGTTCATATGGCAGCTATATGATATAATTGTCCGATTTTTATGAAATTTTTTTCTCGGTTCAAGGGTAGTTCATAAAGTCGATGTTGTAAAAATCATGCTCGTGGAATAAAAAACAACAACGTTATGATTATTTTGCCATTATTTCTATATATATTTTTTGATCTTTCCTATGGCAGCTATATGATAGGGTTATCCGATTTTGATAAAATTTAATCCGAAATTTAATAACCGTTAGAAAACGCCATCTTGAATTCAAGTCGATCTGATCAAAAACAACGGCGTAATAATTTTTTATCCTTTATTTTGTTGAACTCTTGTATGGGAGCTATCCGATATAGTCGGCAGATCCGGCTCGTTCCGACTTATATACTGCGTGCAATAACTACACACCTTTTGGGAAAGTTTCAGCTAGATAGCTTTAAAACTAAGAGACTAGTTTGAAGAGAAACGGACAGACGGACAGACAGACAGACGTACATACAGTACTGTGCAAAATTATAAGACCACCCCTGTTTGAAACATTTTTTTGCGTTTATAGCGTTTGTCTGAAGTTTTATCCCAAAGTTGATATTTTTTTCGTAAAGAGCACCAAAATTTACTTAAGAAAACATGTTTTGCGTGTTTCAGAAGCACTCTTAATATAAAGTTAAAAAATAATAACACTTTTTGCGATTTGCATGAAATCAAACATATTTTATATTCTGTAAAACATTAAAAAAATTGTTGACTTTTGTAAGCCTAGTTATTATACGTAAAAAACCATGAAGAATCCGAAAAAAATAGTACGGCTCGATAAGTTTATCTGTTTTCAAGCCACAGCCAAAAAACGGAGAAAAATTAAGGTGGCGGCGTCCAAGCCCTTGCTGACCAAGCAAAACAGAGAGGCTCGCTATAACTGGGCATTGGAGCACCGCTCATGGACTGCAGAAAAATGGGCCACGGTGCTGTTTTCGGATGAATCCAGCTTTCAGCTCTTCAGCAACCGCCCCTGTCGTGTGTACAGAAAGGCTAATGAAAAATTTAGGCCGCAGTGCATCGTTCCACGAGTTCAGAAAGGAGGAGGCTCGGTCATGGTCTGGGGCTGTATGTCTGCAAAAGGTCCAGGAGAACTTGCGTTTGTGGACGGAACTATGAACACGGAAAAATATCTCCAACATATGGATGATTATATGTTTCCGTCGAAGAAGAAACTCTTTGGACGCCGGAAAGAGTGGAAATATCAACAAGACAACGCACCAGGTCATGTATCGAAAAAGGCTATTGCGTGGTTTCTGAATCGCCGCGTTCCACTATTAAAATGGCCTGCGCGATCACCAGATATGAGCCCCATTGAAGAATTATGGGACCTTCTGGATAGAAGAATCCGCAAACACATTATTCGCAGTTTGGATGAGCTTAAACGAAGACTCACAGAAGAGTGGATGGGATTGAGAGCAGATCGCAAGCTTTTTGAAAATCTCGTGAACTCGATGCCGGAACGAGTCGAGGCCCTCATCAAGGCGAAAGGAGGAGCCACAAGATACTCAGATGGTGAGTTTCATTACAAACGATGCTACTGGAGTACATTCAAACGGCATTTTAACACTCCACTGCATTACAGGTACACGTTCAAGACCCCGATGGGATCCGACGTGTTCAGACGAAGATCGGCGATGAGGAAAAAATGTCAGTTTTTTAGCTGTCGCTTGAAAACAGATGAATTTATCGAGCCGTACTATTTTTTTTCGGATTCCTTGTGGTTTTTTACGTATAATAACTAGGCTTACAAAAGTCAACAATTTTTTTAATGTTTTACAGAATATAAAATATGTTTGATTTCATGCAAATCGCAAAAAGTGTTATTATTTTTTAACTTTATATTAAGAGTGCTTCTGAAACACGCAAAACATGTTTTCTAAAGTAAATTTTGGTGCTCTTTACAAAAAAAATATCAACTTTGGGATAAAACTTCAGACAAACGCTATAAACGCAAAAAAATGTTTCAAACAGGGGTGGTCTTATAATTTTGCACAGTACTGTACATATTTGGATTTTGATCGTGATGATGATCAAGAATACATATGTATACTTTATGGGGTCTGAGGTGTCTCCTTCACTGCGTTGCAAACTTCTGACTGAAATTATAATACCCTTTGCTCTGCAAGGGTATAAAAATAAGATCCATCCTTTTGTAAAGATTTTGCGTTTTGCGACCATTGTTATAACTCGGATTAGCCGGTTTACGCAGTCTGATCATAAAAACTCCTAATTATGCTACAGCACGTGCATCGCGTCTAGAACTAATCTTAACTAGCAGTTATAAGATAAATTAAATATAAGTAGGTTTTTACGGAAGCTGCCATTACCATTCATTACCGTCGTGACATTGACATCACAAATTTGACTTATCATAAATAATGCCCATTTAAAAAACTTCGTAGAGATTAATTCTGAAAAAATCCATAAAAACAGAAAGCAAGACTAACCCACCTTTTCGGATGGGCTCTGAATGTCATGCCCTTAGCGCATTTGATTATCTGTACCACCAGTTATCTCCGCAGTTGATAAGCGCGATCCTTAATCTTTGTTAAAACGATGCTGTCGTGGACGCTAATGAAATATGATCCACAATCAGTTTTTAGCACCTTTCCGGCAGAAAAGGTCTAAACAAAACGATTTATTCACTAGCTGCGCAATGGAAAAGGCAAAAGAGAGCGAGTCGCTCCAGGAGCGTTCATTGAGTCTTCCAGAGACGCCGCTAATGGCACACACCAAGGAGCAGCAGGTAAGACAACGGTCAAGACTCTTCTAGGAGATGACCCATCGGCATCCATTTCCAGCAGGAGCAGCCCCAGTGGACCTGGGCCCTCAAGTGGGCGGCCATTGGGTCCTCGCTAGGGGCGGCCGTTCCAGTGGGATACTGCACGGGTGTGATGAACAGTCCCGCCGAGGTAAGAACTTTCTCCGATACTGGCAACAGCAGTTAAATTCCGCAGGTGGTCCACCTCATCTCCCCAGCTTATGCGCTCCTGGTGCAACGAGACGCTGATTGCCCGCTATGATCTGCACTTGGGCGAGGCAGGCATGGAGTTATTGTGGTCGTCCCTCGTCTCCATTTTTTTAGTAGGAGGCGCCATCGGATCTGTGGCGGGTGCTACCATGGCCAACAGGTTCGGACGCCGCGGCTGTTTTCACATCTGCGGCCTCCTCCTGGCGTTGGGCGCCATTTGCTTCTACGCATGTCGTCCCCTGGATTCCGTGGAGCTTTTGATGCTCGGGCGTCTACTCGTCGGACTGGCCGGTGGTCTTCTTACGGCCTTTATGCCCATGTGGCACAGCGAGATCTCGGCTCTTTCTCAGCGCAGCACCTTGGCTCCCCTCTGCCCAATGGGATTAACCCTAGGGGTGGTTGTGTCGCAGGTCTGCAGTCTCCGCTCTGTACTCGGAGGTCCCGAACGCTGGCACTTCGGACTGTCCCTGTACGGCCTGCTCCTGGTGGCTTGTTACGCCCCCTTTAGGTGGTACCCCGAGAGTCCCAAGTGGCTGTACGTTGTCAAGGGGCGTAAGGAGGAGGCCCGGCGCCAACTGCAGCTGCTAAGGGGCTACGCGGCAGAAAACGCCGCTTTGCAGGAAGAGGTGGATGAAATGGAGCTGGAGGCTGCTTCCAAGGTGAAGGCCAGTGGATTGGTGCAGGTGCTACTCGATCCCCAGTTGCGCCTGCCGTTAATCATCGTCTGCGCCTTCCTTGGTGGCCAACAGCTCTCGGGCATTAATGCGGTGCGTACTGGTCAAGGCTTTCTATTTTCAAAATTTGGCGGTCGTTCAACACCCCGTCTGTCCCTGCAGATCTTCTACTACTCCGTCTCCATCTTCCGCAAGGCGGGTCTTTCTGTCCAGGCGTCGGAGTGGGCAAACCTGGGAGCGGGGTCCCTTAATTTAGCGACCTCAATGTTGGGTCCCGTGCTGCTGGAACGAATCAATCGGCGACCTCTGATGCTTTTCTCCACCTTTTTCTGCACTGCCTTCCTGTTTCTATTTGCCATGATGCTCCACTTTATTGTGAGTAACCGGAGTATAAGATAATCAGGCAATACTAATTTCCTTCTACCCTATAGGAAAGCTATAGTTGGTTCGCCATGGGATGCGTTGGCTGCATTTTCCTGTACATTTTTTTCTTTCAGTTTGGACTCGGGCCTATTCCCTTTTTCATTGGAGCAGGTGCGTTTTATAGTTTAAATACCGTGGGTTAACCGCCGCCTTTTCATCTCCACACAGAACTGTTCGAGCTCGCATCCCGTCCAGCCGCCTTGTCGCTGGGTAGTGTTGTGTACTGGCTGTGCAACTTAGTCATTGGCATGGCCTTTCCCACATTGCAGAACGTTTGGGGCGCCTTGGTCTTCCTGCCGTTCTCGGTCACGTGTCTACTGCTGTTCGGCCTGACAAAACGCTACTTGCCGGAGACGCGTGGGCGTGAGCCCTCTGAGGTGGCTCCGCTTGTCGCACTAGGTTTTAGGTCAAAGGTTCTGCCCAGCCACCAGAAGCCTAACCAAGCTTAGACTAAGACTAATAAATACAAATCTTCTGTAGTAGTCAGCTCAAAAATACCACCGATTACCAACGTTCTTCTGATCAACCGGTGTTCGGAAACTAGCCGAAAGAAAATGGCCCGGAACACATTTATACAGCAACTTAAAAAAAGGAAACAGCATGATTGATCCGTTGTTGCAAACCCATTCTTTGGGAATGACAATTTTATTTTTCTAATAAACAAACAGGTCATTTTAAACTACGACGCCCTATATTAATCGTCGATCGCTTCCATTTTACTAAAACTTTGTACGAGAGTCTGCGAATGGTGACTACAATATATACGCACACAAATAAATAATAGTATACAATTAGACCATGCTTTACGATAATACATTCGACTAAATAAGTAAACTTCTAGTCTCCATCGATGCCATACAAAAAGCATGTGTAGGCAAGACGCGTATAAATTTTATAATTAACAAATTAGAAAAATAATTAACAGACTTCAAATATGTCAAACAAAATACATATAGGCTAAACAAAAGACGTTTTTAGATTCAGTTCGTGATTCTGATCAAGAATATTCATACATATATATTTACGGGGTCTGAGGTGTCTTCTTCACTGCATTGCAAGCTTTTAACCAGTGGCGTAGCGTGCCTTGTCGGGGCCCCGTATAAAATATTTTTTGGAGGCCCTTATATGGAGGTAAAGATTTTTCACAAAAGAAAACAAGAAAGGAAGCTAGCTTCGGCAAACCGAAGCTTTTATACCCTTGCAGTCATCAAATATGTCGAAAAAAATACATAACGGCTAAACAACATCGAAGCTAAGACGATTTTTCTATTCATTTTCTATATTTTCGACTATTGTTCAAATGACGGCTATATGATATACTCGTCCGATTTTGATGAAATTTAATTCGTAATTCAAGAGTCGTTAGAAAACTTTATATTCCCAAAATCATGCTTATCTAATACAAACCATCGATGTTATAATTTTATTTCCGTTATTTCTATATAGATTTTTCGATCTTTCCTATGGCAGCTATAAGATATCGTTGTCCGATTTTTATGAAACTTTTTTCTCAATATAAGGGTTGTTAAAAAAATCATGCTCGTGAGATAAAAAACAACGACGTTATCAATTTATTTCCATTAATTCTATAAATATTTTTCGATCTCTCCTATGGCAGCTATATGATAGAGTTATCCGATTTTGATCAAATTTAATCCGAAATAACAGTTAGAAAACGCCATCTTGAAGGAATCAAGTCGATCTGATCAAAAACAACGGTCTGAGAATTTTTTATTTCATTCTCTCGTATGGGAGCTATCCGATATAGTCGGCCGATCCGGCCCGTTCCGACTTATATACTGCGTGCAATAACTACACACCTTTTGGGAAAGTTTCAGCAAGATAGCTTTAAAACTGAGTGACTAGTTTGATGCTGATCAAGAATATATATACTTTATGGGGTCTGAGGTGTCTCCTTCACTACGTTGCAAACTTCTGACTGAATTTATAATACCCTTTTGCTCTGCAAGGGTATAAAAAATATTGTGAGAAGAAATATTTATTTATCACATTATTTACCCATTTTACAAATAAAAATCAAATTTTAAATATTCACTCTTACACACTTTGGGGGCCCCCCTGGCCCGGGGGCCCCGTATAATTGATACGGCGTATACGGCGGTAGCTACGCCCCTGCTTTTAACTGAAATTGTTTTACTCCCTGTAAGTGTATAAAAAGTGATATAAAACGTGATTCTCTAAAAACTGAAATTGTCTTCTCTAGCGGATGTGAACTCAACCATTTTAAGATTTTAATTGTTTGTAAATGACACAGTCGTATTAAAGGGTTTCAACTGCAAAAGTTTAACAAAAAAGTCTAGTCAATAATAGCCTCCGTATTGCAATTTCAGTAACGGTCATAGAGGCTGACTGAATTGAACACTTGAATGACGGTCGGTTAAGTTTTAATTGATTTTTAACATAGTTGAATACGTGTTGGCTTCATAATTTGAATGATAACTTTGTCACTATTTATGAATTTAAATAATTTTATTGCACACAAAAATCTGCTATGCTAGTGGTTTTAACGGTCCTCTAATTCTTGTCATTATACCCTTGCAGAGAAAAAAGGTATTATACATAATTTCAGTCAGAAGTTTGCAACGCAGTGAAGAAGACATCTCAGATCCCATAAAGTATATATATTCTTGATCAGCATCACGAGCAGAATCGGAATACGTCTGTCTGTCTGTCCGTCTGTCCTTCTGCCGTTGTTTTTGATTACGCCGTTGTTTTTGATCAGATCGACTTGATTTCTTCCAGATGGCGTTTTCTAACTACTATTGAATTTCGGAATAAATTGGATCAAAATCGGATGACTCTATCATACAGCTGCCATAGAGATCGAAAAATATATATAGAATTAATGGAAATAAATTGATAACATCGTTGTTTTTTATCCCACGAGCATGATTTCTTGAATATCAAGTTTTTTAACAACCCTTAAATTGAGAAATTTCATAAAAATTGGACAACTATATATTATAGCTGCCATAGGAAAGATCGAAAAATATATATAGAAATAACGGAAAAAAATTATAACATCGTTGTTTTTCACCAGATAAATTTGATCAAAATCGGACAACTATATCATATAGCTGCTATATGATCAATAGTCGAAAATATGGAAAATTAATAGAAAAATCGTCATAGCTTCGATGTTGTTAGCCTTTTTCATTTTGTTCGACATAAATGATGACTGCAAGGGTATATAAGCTTCGGCTTGCCGAAGCTAGCTTGCTTTTTTGTTTTAATTAACAATAGTTTGCATTTTTATAAAGGATTTAAACAATGCCGTATTTATGAGCCATTAAAACAACCAAAACATATAATATTATATTTACACATACATATGTATACGCTTGATATTAAAGTTTGGCCAAGGGTTCACTTTCATCCAGAAAAATATCCGTGGCCAACAGGTGTATGTTCTCCGGGTGGCACGCATACTTAGATAAATCCTTCACGCCAACATCCATTAAGACCTCGTCGTCCACAAAAAAGTTGCCAGTGTACTCCTTAGAGTCGCGGCAAAATATGACGTAGGCTGCGTCAGCCATTATCTCCGGCTTTCGAGAGTACAGAGCCCCGTCGGATCCGTGGAGCATCTCGACGGCCGCCGTGTGGATCGTGGTGCGGGGCCAGAGTGCGTTAACGGCCACGCCCTGGACGCGGAACTCCTCTGCCATGCCCAGCACGCACATTGACATGCCGTATTTTGCGATAGTGTAGGCGGTGTGGTTGGCGAACCACCGGGGACTCAGGTTTAGCGGGGGCGCAAGGTTCAGAATATGTGGGTTCTCGCTGCGCAGAAGATAAGGCAGGCAAGACTTTGATCTGTGGAGTTTGACCGGACGCATTTAGATATTGTTGGTTGATTAGAAGCCAGGGCGCACCTTACACAAGAAAAGTTCCCCTTGCATTGATGTTCTGCATTAGATCGTAGCGCTTCATCTCCGTTTCGAGGGTGCCGGTAATGGAGATGGCGCTGGCGTTGTTCACCACGATGTCGATACCTCCAAACTTGGCCACCGCCGCCTCGACAGCCTGTTGCACCTGGAGCTCGTCGCGTACGTCCACAATGCAGGGGAGCGCCCGACCCCCGGCTCGTTCGACTAATGCAAAGGTCGAGGACGGTACAAAGATGAAACTGTACTCCTTTGGTGGTTGTCCTGCCACTTACCCTCCTCCGCGGCCGTATATATGGTGCCGGGCAGCTTAGAATGCGGCTCGGCGGTTTTGGCTGCGATGACAATGTTAGCTCCATCGCGAGCCGCCTTTAGAGCAATAGCTTTACCGATTCCCCGGGAGGCGCCGGTGATAAAAAGGGTCTTTCCCTTCAGTTTTCTTAAAAAACAAACGATTTTTAAAAGGTTCCTTGTGAGCTGGCCTATACACACCCTGTGTTCTTCATGCTAGTGGGTCTGCCAAATTGAACTCCTTGATATTGAGCTGAGTTCACTTTAACAATCAAACTAGCTTCATCACACCTATAAAATGCTAGAGATATTAGCGATGGAACATTTCAGTACTTCATTTAGCTATTCTAAATGCATTAAAAAGTGTTTAACAGCTGTGAAAGAAATGTATACCGAAACGGCCAATTCTTATAATAAAATACTAGAAAATACCGCACAGAAGTTCTTAATTAAGGGTAATCATTTTATAACCTTTTAGCTGATTTTTAGCAGATGGCTCCGTTAGTAACAAAAACCAACTTCACAAGCGAAGCGCGAAATTTGAATGTAAAAACCGGTTCGTCATTACCAAACAACCTAATATATGTATGTACATTCATATATGTAAATATTTTTTTATCGGGTGTTTTATGGGATCAAAGGTGTCTCTTTGAAAGCGTTAAAAGGATATAAAAAAAATTTAAATTAACATAACATGTCTTCTTTAAATACAGGAATCCTGTAAATTTAAAAGCAATGGAAGGTCGGGCCTTTTCGAAAGTGAATTAATGCGCATTTCAACCAGATCCATACCTTTGCCAGATTTTTTCTATCCGAATAATTTTTGAGAACTAATGACAAAATCTTAAGAAAATATGCCAAGAACTTCGACCTAATTTTTCGTAATCAGGACACTAAAATACACAGAATTTAAAATCTAACGCTCTCTTTTTTTAGACAAAAACCACTCTAATAATATAATCTATTAGTGTTTGTATATTATGTAGTATCATAGTATATTATCCGATTGCATAATCAAACGCTAATAGTTCTGAAAATGTTAAATCCACTGTGGGCTGTGGAGAGCAGCACGCCTGGCAGCTGAGCGTGCCAGTGTAGCTCTTTGATTTCTTTCTGGCCCTGGTGAATAAAAAGCAACTGAGGTGGTAACTTGCTAAGCTCATCTTCGTTCTGGGCCTGTGCCTGCGCTTGGTCAGTGTCCTTTTCCACGGCCAAGTCCCACAAGGCAATCTGGTCGTCATCACCGCCTGAAGCCAGAACGGTGGCCTCACTGGGACTCCATTCTACTGTAGTAATATGGTCCGTGTGGTGCTTAAACGTGGCTATGGGTTTCTGACTCTGAAACTGGCGTAGGTCCCAAATATGTAGAAATCCGTCGTCCCCGCCACTGGCGATAAAAGGCTCCGAATGATTCCACGAAATTACGTTGACATCGCTCTCGTGAGCGTCCTGGCAGGTGAGCATGCATGCCTTTTGCGGTGCCGCTCGACAATCCCAAATGCGGATGGTTCTGTCCACGGAGCAAGAGGCGAGAACGCTTCGCTCGTTCGGGCTCCATTGCAGATCCTCTACCGACTGCGAGTGGCCCGCCAGCGGGCGTTGGTCCACCTTCCAGGTACCGTCCTCTAGTGGGCTCCACACATGTATGTCCCGCCGGCAGTCTCCCGTAGCCAGCACGCCCTCAGCGCTGGGGCTCCAGTCCACTGCGAAACCCTCCTGTTGGTGCCCGCCGAAGGTAAACACCGGACGGGTCTCGTTGCGTTCGTACTCCTTAAGCAGCTGATCGTCCTCTACGGCCTGCAAGGGTTGGCTCAGGTTCCAGATGTTGACGCGCCCCAACTCGCTCCATGAGGCGGCATATACCATATTGCCTATGCGGCGGGATCGCACCCGGTTAACGCACCCCTGGTGTTTGATTAAAGCGCAGGTCATCTGCGGTTTTTTCTGCTCTTCGCGGTCGGCCACGTCGTCCTGGTCGTCTTCTAACTCCTCGTCATCATCCTGGTCATCGTCCTGCGTCCTATGCAGGTTACTCATCTTCATCACAATTAAGTTGTTGACATGGGTTCGGGCAGCTTGCGTGCCAGCCACAATGTAAGCCGTCATCGGAAACGACTGCCTTCCAGTCCCCAACTCATCAGGAATAACGTCAAAGCTCAGGCAGGGAGCCCCCGTAGAAGCTTGATGCAGCATCACGTAGGCACTTTCGTCGCAGACCAGTTCCTCATCCTCGGCCAGTTTATTTCCAGGTAGATAAACCTCCTTGGCCACCTTCGTCTCCGCGCCGTCGTTATCCGCGTCACTACCGCTATCCGATTCCATGTCGCTTTCCGCATCCTCAGGCTCCACCACTTCCATACTTAGATTTTCGTTTTCCTCGTCCATGGCGTTAATAATTGTGCCTTGTTTTTGACCTCAGCAGTATCTTGTTTTGGAACAGCACGTGTAAAAAGGTAGAGTGACCGTTTATAAGATTCACAGAAATGCATTCTGTTTTAAAAATAAAAAGCGGTTTCCACCTCGCTGACTTTTATTCGGTGAGACGATTTACTAAAGTTTATAACATAAAATGGGGCTAATATATATTAGGAAATAAATTTTAAAGAATTTCCCACAAAGCAAAGACGCATCCGCAAATTTTACATTTTAACTTTTAAATGTACGAAAATTAAAATGTTGTTTTACAGCATATTTTAAATAACATATATGGAAATAAGGAAAAAATTTGATCTAGCTTACGGTGGAAATATTTTTTTTTTTTTTACAAATACGTTTCAATATGTTGTTTAAACAAGTAAAATTCTCTAAATTTTGCAATTCAATTCAAGAAACACCTTTTTAAAAACACACAATTTGGGTGAGATGTGCGCAGATTGATTACCATACTGTCGATTTATGTTACAACCGATTTTACTATTTATGATGCTATATTTGCATGTTTCCACTTTAGATAATATGTAAATTATGTTTATTGTGAATGAAAAGAGCACAATGCTTAACATTCATGCTTAACAATTTTAAATTTCCCGCGCTATTGACAGGAGTCGTCCGTTAGACACCAAAAAATACCAAAACGAAAACCTACTGGCAAGGCCAATTGTCAATTGTCAACATTCCTCGTGCAAAAAGTCAAGTAAAAAATCGAGCTGAAAGTTAGCATCCCAGAATATTCGATCAAAATGGTAAAGTCGTCGAACCCCCTGAACATTTTGCGCAGCATCTACAACAACGAGTTCCAATGGTGAGCGTCAGTGCAACCCGTTCCTCTTAATTACATAACCGGTAACTATATTCTCATATAGGATGCTTGTCAAGAGCTACGGCCTGTTTTTCTTGGGAGTTCGTCTGGCCAAGGAATTCGTAGGCGTGGAATTAATGCCGGCACTGGGACCAGCCTAGTCATGAAACCAAAATCGACCGCTTTAAAAACAAAAAATTTAGTTAACTAAGTATAATATGAAGAGTACAATATATACAATTGGAGGTGTGTGAGAAGTACATTAACTTCTGCTGACCATTAAATCCCTAATTTTTGATTCGTCGGCGTCAATCTCTTTGATCAGGCTGTCGGCCAACACGCTGGGTGTCATTTCGCGTTGTAGGAAGTTAGCAACCAGCTTTCTGCTGGGAACGGCTCCTCCGTGGGCCAGAATTTCTGCGCGGTATTTCTCTCCCGCCTGCCGGTTATAGGGGTTCGCTTCGAAGTATGTTTGCCAGATCCACGATGCGATCGTCTTCGATACGAGGTAGGCGTAGTACTTGGCTCCATAACCCACTAGGTGAGAGAAACGCAGCTGCCACGCAGTGTTTTCCACGTAAGGCAGGCCATAGTAGCGACTCTGCACGGCGCGTAGTGTCTCAGTACTGCTGCCTCCATGACGCGCTTCCGCTCCATGGTACTCTTGGTCCAAGGCTGAGTAAAACACCTGAAGCTGCGTCTCGCTAGCAGCAAAAAGGTGCTTAGACGCACACAGCCGACTCAGCATATCTTCCGAAATTGGCTCATGGGTCTGAAAGTGGCGGGCAAAGGTCCGCAGCACACGGGGATCGCCGGCAAAGTACTCCATGAGCACGCTTGGAACCTCGGCAAAGTCCGTCGAGCAGCGCGTACCCGTCACATGCTGGTGCTCGGTGCGAGCTAGCATCGAGTGCATGGCGTGACCCATCTCATGAAATAAGTTGTCAACTCGCGCCGGTGACAGCAAAGTTGGCCCGCTCCAGCGTGGCTGAGCTAGCCCCAGCATGACCACTACCACGGGCAATTGATAAGAGCCATCCGGCAGACGCTTGCCGCCCTGGATGGTAAAGTGGCAGTCTTGGTTGGGCTTGCCCGAACGCTCAAAAAAGTCGCAGTAGATGTAGCCCAGCAGTCCTTCAACCTCGTGCACTACGGCCAGCTTATAGATGTCGTTGTGCCAGGACTCGCCTGGCTCCATCTCGACGTTCTCCAGCCGTACACCGTAGAGCGACTGAAGAAGGTTGTTCAGTCCTTCCATGCAGCCGCCTAGCGAGAAGTAGGGCAGGAACTCGTTGGCTTGTTCCTCGAGTGACTGTCGTCTCAGCTGGGTGGTAAAATACGGCGTGTCCCAAACCTCGACAATAGCTTTAGCCTGCCCGCTCTCCTGGCGTTTCATCTGCGTCATCCGAGCGAAGTCTGCATCAGCACGCGGCCGCAGCTTCTCAGATAACTCGTCTATAAACTCACGGACCACCTCAGGCTTTTCCATGGTGCTACCATTAAGTGCGCGATGAGCATAGGTTTCAAAGCCACAGCTGCGGGCCAGTTCGTGCCGGCAAAGCAGAAGATCTCTCAGTAGGTCCTCCTGGCTCTCAGACGGCTGCAGATACAGCCGGTAGGCGGCCTCACGCATCTGCACGTTCTCAGCGTTCGTGCACAATCCCGTGATAATAACATTGTCGCCAGAGGTCGGAAAGCTATGAGAGATTTTGTTAGTGCTAGCCATAAAGGGAATAACGAACTTACTAGTTACGAATGGGCTCTGGAACTTGGCTGCGCGGAAAAACGCTGGGCTGCACTGCTCCGCTCATAAACTTTTGACCCAGCTGAAGAATGTAGTCGTTGAGGCGTACTACACGCAAGCGCTCCTCCTCGGGCAAGTGAATGCCGCACTGCTCAAAGTCGAAAAGGAACAGTCGGGCTACATGTCTGTCCACCTCGGTGGTTGGCAGATAGTCTCCACGCTCCACAACACGGCTCAGGGCCTGATAAATGGGCTTGTGCGTGTTGAGGCTCTCCACCACCCCGCAAATGCTGATGCAGGCCTGCTCCGCCGCCTGGGTGTACTTGCTCTGAGGATGGGCGATTCGTACGAACTCGGCCAGATCCGCTACCTTACACAACGAGTCTGAGAGCTCGTCGAAAATATCCACCATCTTCCGCTGCCGCTGCTCTGAAACAGCTTCAGTGATGAGCTCCTGCGTACGGCTTTCCACGTTGTCGCGCAGAAGGTAGAAGCCCTCAAAGCTCCTAAGCTCTGGCATACGAAAAAGGCCCTGCAGGGAAAACAGAAATTAAGACCTGGTTATAGCGGCCCTAGTTTTTACAGACTGAGTCTTACCACATCGTCGCGGGTAAAGTTGATGCGTCTTGCCGGAGGGGAATTAAAAGCTGTAGCCAGAGGCGTCCACGTGGAAACCAAACGGATTCGGGGTCTGTTTCGACAGCGATGCAGGGTACGACTCAACTGAAACATGGCGTTTAGCTTTGGGCCCAACTCGTATTTCTTGTTGCCAAAAGGAATATTACAAAGGCAATCAGCTGGGGGCTCATAGCCTCACGGATGCCAGACCATTTCAGTTAGGTTATCGGACACATTAAATAGAAACCCAGGCACAGTCTGGCAGACTGGATTGGGGTGACCGTATTTGCAAGAATAAGCGGTAATTGTTTACAAGTGAGGCCCACGGTAAAAACAGCTTAAAATAAAGAAAGTATGGAAATAATGTTGTGCCGATTATTGCAGTCGTCTGGTGGCCAGTGTTGCCAACTCTGAGTGGTCATTTATAGCAGTGGATGCCAAAATAAATAGCCAAAAATATCTAAATTTCTTAAAAAATAGTAAATTTAAATAGCCGTTAGTTTTCAATAATAAAATCTAATATTTTTGTACATTCAGTGTTGATTATTTAATGATTCTTCTTCGTTAAGCAAATTGCTTAAAATTTGCCCAATTTCTACCTCCTCGGAACTCAAATACTTTTCCATTGTACCAATCTGTGAAAGGCACTTATGGGGGACGTCGTACTGAAAAAAGCATTTTTTTCTTTTTCTGTTTTTAGTTTCAGCGTGCGATACAATGTTCCACAACTTTGCATTCAATGTGCAACACAGTCCTTAAATTGGGGATCCTCCAACCAAGCATTGCGAACTTTTTGTTTATACATTTTAAGAAACAACCGCACAAACACAATAATCAGTGAATTTGAATGTAGAGAGTTGAGAATGTAGCATTGCAGGCGCGAAACGATGTTAAGAAAATACGAAGTACCCAAAAGCTACAAAGGGGTAAATAATATTTTAGTATTTAAAATACACAACTCGATCGCGCTGGGCTGTAAACATGGTGTCTATGCCAACATACGATTTCCGAAAATTTAATTTGAAGGTCGACGGATTTTAGTCGACTATATATAATATCAAATATTACAAATTATTTAAAATAGCTAAAAAATAGCACATTTCTTTTATAAAATAGCCAACATAACAGGCTCCTGCAAAATTGAGTGGTTTCTAATTTGGCCAGAAAATAGCCAAGTTGGCAACACTGGATATAGATGTTGCTTAGTTGATTTCGGGTATTAGATCTAACTAATAAGTAATGTGACCGTATATTTAGACCAAGCATTGCCGGTATCGGCACGGTTGTCCATCTCTATCGGCATTTCGTTTTACCCTAGTTATAAACGTGCTTTGTTTTTTTTTTAACAAAATGAAAGCCGTTTTGTGTGTGGCATTGATAATTATGGTAACAAACTTCGCTGCTGATGCAGCTAGGTTGAACCACCCGCGCGTATTGTTGCCAATTTTCGAGGAGAAAGCCATTAACTTCACTTTAGAAGTCGACGAGCCCAACTGCTACAAATGGTAAGTTGGCGTCCCAAAGCCTTGCCGCCTTTTTTACCCTATTTTGACGCCATCTATAGGTCATCCTCGCGACAAGACCTAATATCCGTCATGCCCATCTACAATGGATTCAGCGAATGTGCATACCAGGCCGTTGTAACGGTTCGCACCCACGAGCGCCGCAGGAACACGGCAATCGTCTTTGCAGAGGAGATGCAAACGGGCGAAACGTTACGATCCGACGTGATTGTAGATGCCGTCGCCAGCCTTAATGTGCGCACAGCAACCAGGCAGCTTTATCTGGAGGAGGCTCCTGCCATGTTCGAGTTGCACGCTTTTGATGAACAGGGCAATGAGTTTTTCACTTTAGAGGGCATTGAGTTTGACTGGGAGATTTCGGAGCCCGGCAGCAACAAGCCCGCTGCGATGCGCTACCTTACCTTCACGGACAGCCCCTACCACACTGTGCCGTCCGCTCTGGAAAAGTTTGAGGCGGACGGCACCAAGGGGTATATGATCCTCCTAGAGGGCATCAATACGGGCACCGCTAAAGTGACCATTGCCATGCCCCAGGCTGAATACCGGCACGTGCGTCCTATAGAAGTTTACATCAGCGTCCTGGCCAACATAATTATCGAGCCCTCTGAGGTCGCCATCCTTGCCGGTGACTCGGTTTCATTTCGCATCTTGCAGCTGAAGATGGACCGCCTGCATGTTATTGATAACATGCAGTATTATTTAGAGGTAGAGGACGCCAGTGTTGCCTACTTACGGGGCAACAGTGCCACAGGAGTGGCTGTGGGCCGCACTCAGGTTTTTCTGCGTGACCGCAACATGGCGGACTCGGATACGACTGCCAAAGGACCCAGCGCCCTATTGACGGTCGCGGAGCCTGTCAGGCTAGGTATCAGCTTGCTTCCTCATCTAAATTGGGTCACAGTTCAGGGAGAACATCACGAGATTGCTTTGGACTTATTTGCCGCCGACGGGCAGAAAATAACTTTGGGCAGCCGGTATTCTATTAGTTCAGAGATCGACGAGTCCTTATTCTCCATTGTTCAACGGACTCGAAACGGAAGCCGTCTATTTGGCGAAGCAAGAAAGGAGGGCATAACTGAGGTGTACGGGTCATACAAAGACGTAAGTATCTGCGATCTTCGGAACTTCACTTAAAAAATTCTGCTTTTTCGTTATAAAACTGGTAATCGTAATGTGGCATCTAGCCATGTTTGTATGTCTATCCGTCTAAAGAACTAGGTTATTGGGTTTAGGAATAATTTGTAATTTTTCCGCAGTGTCTGTTTTTAAAAAAAATAATGTTCACGGACGTTGCATTTTGTGATAATGATTAACATATTAGGGATGAATACGCAGTGAACGATCTAAAATGCCCACGCACATTCACAAACTCCATGAGCGGGTCCTCAGACCCCTTTAGGTCATTCTTGACTTTTATATTTTTGATCACGGTCTGAATCGAACTAGACGTATACACCTGTCCGTCTTTCCATACGTCCGTCTGTTTCTTTTAATGTAAAATAAACTTTACCAAAATCGTAAAACTTTATCATATAGCTGGCATACGAAAGAAGAGTCCAAAAAAGTGAGATTTTAGATAAAAAAAAATGCTTGTTATGAAAAACTACCTAATTACCTGTTAATTTAAGTGAAGAATTAGTGTTGAAATTTTCAAAAAATCGGTTCTGCAGATTTCAAGTTCTAATGTTCACCGACTTTAAAAATAACGTTTTCGGGAAAATCGATTTAAATTTTTTAAATCAAAGTGCGTCCAAATTCGGTCGTTAAAAACGCTGTAACTCTGTTAGTTTGACTCTAATTGACTAAAAATTTGTTCGCAATATTCTCGACATATGGTCTTTAAAAAAAAATTTCTTAAAAATTGCAAAAACAGAAAAAAATTATATCATCATTGTTTTTTATCAGACAAGAATAATTTTTGGAAGATAGAGTTTTCTACCGACACTTAAAAACCGACGACTATTGTATAGCTGACATAGAAAAAATTGTCGTAAATATAGAAAATTAATAGAATAGAAAAGCCTTTATGTATTTTGATCAAAATTATTGATGACTGCAAAGGTATATAAGCTTGGACACGCTGAAGCTAGCTTCCTTTCCTGTTTTCTCTATGAATGCATCGATACCTTGAAAGCTATAGAAGCTAGAATACGGTAGATGCCTATTTTAATGAACAAGAAAAGCAATTTTCAAAACAAAAAAAGGGTGTATATTCTTAATCTAAATATCAGACATTTCTATCTGTCTAAACTTTTGTCCTTCTAAATGAACCTGCACATCTTGGAAATTGCAAGTGCTAGAATGTTGAGATAAATAATTTGTTTCATAAGCAACACAAGTTTAAAAAAAAAGGAACAAGAAAGGAAGCTAACTTCGGCGAGACGAAGCTTATATTATTATTTCAGGGACATTTATCTGTCGTATTGTCCGTTTGTAGGTTTCTATGCAATTGGCTTTACCATTTTAAAACCACTATATCGTATACATTGCTGTCATTATGACAAGCCATAGGCTGAGAGGCAGGAAATGAAAATTTTTTGGCATAAAGGTATTTTTATCGACTATTAAATTACGAATTGAATTTTATGAAAATGGGACGAGTACATCAAACAGTTGTCATAGAAAAGGTCACAAAAACATAAACAGTAGCATCCTGTTATAACGACTTCGCTTATAGTGTCCGACCGAGTTTTGGTTAGGGCGTCTTCCGGGTATAACGACGTGTCCCTTGAAAGTCGTCATAACCTGATTTTACTGTAAAACTAATAGAAACAAAATTATAACGACCTGGTTTTTTCACACAAGTTTGATTTTTGAAAGATGGTGTTTTTAAATTACAATGGATCTTGTAATTTTATTCAAAGTTCAATGCAATAACCTTCGGCTGGCCGAAGCTAGCGTTCTTTCTTGTTTACTTTTCTTATAATCAGAATATTTAATTATGACCCAGTTGTCAGTGCAAGCTGAACTTCAGATCTTTGAAGAGCTTCATCTGATGCCAACCAAGGTGGTGCTGCCCTACGATCCAAACAGCGTTAAACCATTAAAGCTGCAGTTTCATGCTTCAGGCGGAGATAACAATTACGCTTGGTACTCCGGAAACCCGCAAGTGCTCCAGATAGATGCGCAGGGCCTGGCCACAACCGAGATTCGAGACGTTCGAAATTCCTTCGTGCCCCAGGGGGTGGATGGTTCATTCGCTGCCCAGACCACTGTCAAGGTGGCGCTGACCAAGAACCAACAAATCTCCCGTCTTGCGCAGATTTACTTCCTGCCCCCCTACCGCCTCCAAATTAAACGAAGCAACTTCGAGACCGCTCTTAAGGATTATGTGCACGTGCACGTGGGAGTTTACGCTCGGATTAACAATTCTGACGTCCCATACACAAGTTGCGAAAACCTCCACTTCCAGCTTGATTTAAGTCAACCCATTCTTCAGCTAGAGAGCAATGAGGAGCTCAAGGAGATAGTCCCTGAAGCGTGCCGCGTGCTGCGGTTGCGCGCCACCGCTGTGGGCAGTACCTCGCTGCGAGTTTCATATACTTTCCAAGACAAAGTGCTTCACGACACCGTTGACATCTACGTTTTTAAACCTCTGGTTGTGCTTAATCCTCTGCATAACGAGGTAGTGCTTCCCGTCGGGTCATCTCGCAATGTGATCTACACTCACGGACCGCAACGTATTTTTACCATGGCGGCGGAGCTCACCAAGTCAACAGCTTTCGATGACAAAGTTATTTCTGTGGCTGAGCTAGAGTTCGACCCACAAAATGGTATTACAGCGTTCACCGTGCTGTGCCGCAAGCTGGGCGAGACAACGTTTACTTACCGAGTGCACAATAGTCTGACTACGGCCAGCTTTGCCGTCTACCGATCAGAGGTTACCACAAAGGTTTACTGCGTCCGCCCACGCTTCTTGAAGCTTTACGCACGCCACAACCTTCGTGAGTCCTGTCCCTTGGAACAGCGCTCTTCACTTCTTTTCCTAAAAGACCGCGAAAACAAATTTGAGATTGAGATTGAAGTTCAGGATTCAAACAACCGAAGACTTATGAATGTCAGCTCTCTGTGGCTAGAATGGGAGTTCGTCGCGGGTGAAAAGCGCTATCGCGAGGACATAATGTCCCGGCAGGTCTCCGAGCTGGAGTTCGTTCACGGAGTTGGCCTGCCTAATCGGGATCTTCTCGTTTTGACTTTAAACGAGGTGGCGCCTAACTTCCGCATTAAGGGCACTGTGTTACACTATAACGACAATCTGCTTGCCCAGCAAGATATACACGCAGAGCGCCCGGCTTTCGGAGTCCAAAACGTGAGTTAATAATATTCTTTTGTGAGAAGTCCTAATAAGTAGAAAAAAATTACAATTCGCAGCCAAAGACTGGGTTAGTAAGCACGCCCCTTATCGAAAATGAGGTCCGATTCCACACGGTCAACAGTACGCTGTTGCCAAAGGACCACGTGAGCATCTTGCTAGCAGCGGGACACAGTGAAAATATACCCATCGCCCAGGGCAGCGGCTACCTACAGCTGGACTTGTCCGAGGAGGGGATCGTACAGGCCGAATATGATGAGAAGACCCGCATACTTAAGGTAACACCTCTGCGTTTCGGCCACGTGCGTCTGGAGCTGTTTGACCGCTGTTTAACGACCGAGCCGAGCCATCTGTCCATCTCCGTTGTGGGAATTGGAGCCATTGAAGTAACAAGCATGGACCGGTTGGAACGCACTACACGCATCGAGGCGATTGTCAGACTTTTTGACACGAACGATAACCCCTTGGAAGTGGATCGCAGCAGTCTAAGTGTATACGATTTATCCGAGGAGGTTTTGGACCAAAGTATTTTGAGCGTGCGGCTAGGGGAACAACAAAACTTGAGGTCGGGAGAGATTCGTTACACCATAACGGGCAATAACGTTGGTGAGACCAAAATAGTTTTTAAGGCCGGCAAGGGCTCTTTGCAAGTGGCAACTGAGCCACTCAATGTTCAGGTCTTTGCTCCAATTCGTCTATATCCTCGCGACTCCACTCTTGTGATTGGAAGCAGCGTACAGATTTTTTATCAGGGTGGCCCGCAGCCAAACACCAACATGATATACATATTGGAAAAGGAGGAAGTGGCAAGTAAGTTTTTTGTAATAATTGTTTTATTTATTTTTGATAACAAGGAAGTTTTCCTTTGGTTCCATTTTCAGCTATAAGGTCCTCTATTGTAACGGCTCACAGCCTAGGGACCAGCAAGATTGTTGGCAAGTGCCTTGTAAAAAACCCAATAACTGGAAAGGATGAGGTGGTATCCCAAGACTCGGTGGAAGTCTCGGTTGTTGCCCTCACAGGAGTGCAGATACGGACGCCGCTGGTGCGGATTCGCAGCGGTGCCATTATGCCCGCAACTTTGTGGGGTCATTCTGACTTGTCGCCCATGGTGCTGGGTACCTTGCAAAATATCAAAATCTCTTGGAAAGTCAACCAACCTCAGGTGGTTGAAATATTTAACGTCTTCACGGCGGCGGGTAAGTTCAGTGCAATTAAGAAAATAATTACCATTATCGTGCACGGATACCGCTATAGAGATTACAGGCTTTATCTCTATGCTCACTAAGTGCTCGGACATTAACCTCTTAATGTTCTTCGATGAGCCTGCCCGGTTTAGTTTCGAAGCAGGAACAGATACGGAACATACACAAATTTTTTTCTCCCATGTTTATCGATGTACCCAACTTCAGCCTTTATTTTCGTTATCTTGTTAAATATTTTCATGCATTTTTAAACCCTACAGAAGGTGTTATAATTCCTTGAGTATGCCAATTTAAATCACAAGTTTGCAACGTACAGAAGGAGACACCCCAGAACTTATAAAGTATATATATTCTTAATCAGCATCACGATCAGAATCGAAATACGCCTCTTCGTTTCTACGCAAACTTGTCTCTCAGTTTTAAAGCTATCTTGTCGAAACTTTCCCAAAAGTTATAGATTTAGATTTTTCGATCTTTCCTATGGCAGCTATAAGATATAGTTGTCCGATTTTTTTGAAACTTTTTTCTCAATATAAGAGTTGTTAAAAAACTTGAAATTCAAAAAAACATGCTCGTGGGATAAAAAACAACGATGTCATCAATTTATTTCCATTATTTGTATATATATTTTTCGATCTGTCCTATGGTAGATATATGATAAAGGTATCCGATTTTGACATGGTAACATGGGCTAGAGAAATATTTTTAGTTTATTGCTTTGTGTGAAGGAAGCTCTTATCTAATGGTATGGATGCATTGGATTGTAATTATAAAAAATTCTGTGCAGGAATCGAGTACCAAAGTGAGGACTTAATTTCTGTTCGAGTACGAGCTCTGAATCCTGGAAAGGTTACAATCACAGCATCTGTAAGTTTAATGGACGGGACAATGCTGCCACCAGCTACCGTAGAGCTTATAGGTAAGTTTACGCTCACCCGACCACGATTGAAACATAATTAAAACATTTATTGCAGTTTTTAAAACTCTGGAGCTGGTTGCACCAAAACCTATTAGAATGGATTCCATTTTGGCAGCTCCAAGGAGCACGGTCCAGCTTAAATCTAATATAGACGATGCGGTCTTCAAAATGGATAGTCAGAGCAACGGTGTTGTCAACGTAACACCAGATGGCCTTGTTCACACTAAAGACACACTTGGTCGTGATCTAGTAATCGTAAGAATCAGCTTTGTTGGTCTAACCGCGGAGTTTTATTAAATTAATGCTTTTTAGGCCAAAACAGCGGACCAAACTCTACCAATCGGAATCGAAGTAAAGAATGTCCAATACATTTTGGTTACGCTTTTACCAAACCTTAAGTTTAGAAAGGTCGAACACAAGGTTCCCCGTGGTATGAACTTCGTGCTTAAAGTATCACTCCATGACAATTTGGGCAACGAGTTTTCCCATAGCATTGAAGATGCAAACGGCCTACGGTATGAACTGGCCACGAGGGATGTCGTTGATGTTCAAATAGAAAATAATCTGACAATTGTGGTGAGTCTAATTTTTGATGTTTTGACTTTTACATAGTAAGCAAAACCACACTAAACTTTTCGAGTGTCATTTGAGATTTATGTGTTCCCAAAACGGATATCTGTACGAGGCACTGAGTGAAGACATTACAAGAAGCCATATTAGATACTATAATTTTTTCTTTGCTCGCATATGCATAAAAATAAAACGAATAAAAATATAAACGAAGTACGAATCCTCTGATACAGCTGAACCTGCAGCGTGAAACCAACAATGTCATCGCCATCAGTCTAAAGGACCCAACTGGCGTCAAACACGCAGAAGACTACGTCAAGCTTTCAGTATTGGACTCCGAGAACATTTTTCCCACCAAGGTGAGCTGATTCTAGTTACATCTAAAGAAACAGAGAAACTGACAGGTCATTATATAAAATCTACACTAAAGCACACAAATGTTATCTTTTTCTGGGTTATTATTAGGCGATATTTTTTATTTTAATCTTAGCATATATGGTTACAAACAAGCGATGAGGATTTTAGTAAATTGATTCATTTGAATACCTTGTAGTGGGAATTTTTATACCCTTGCAGAGAAAAGGGTATTATAATTTCAGTGAGAAGTTTGCAACGCAGTGAAGAAGACACCTTGATCAGCATCACGATCTGAACCGAAATACGTCTGTCCGTCTGTCCGCCTGTCTGTTTCTATGTAAACTAGTTTTTCAGTTTTAAAGCTAAACTTTACCAAAAGTTGTATAGTTTCAACACGCAGTTATAAGTCGAAATGGGCCGTATCGGGTGACTATATCGGATAGCTCCCATACGGGAGATTGAAAACAAAAAAATGTTTACTTCGTTGTTTTTAATTATATCGGCTTGATTTCTTTCAGTTTGTGTTTTTTAACTACCATCGAATTTTGAATTTAATTTGATCAAAATCGGATAACAATATCATATGGCCGCAATAAGAAAGATCGAAAAATATATATAGAAACTAGCTGACCCGGCGAACTTCGTACCGCCTTCGTATACTTTTAAAGGTGGTAGGAACGAAATTTGTTCAGACCAAGCATACTTTGGATTGGTTATATCGTTTTGTATTAAAATTTTTTTAACGCTGATCACGACAAATTATATAACTATATAATATATTATATTAATTTTTTCTTGCCTACTCTATGTGAATCTTCGGATTTGACCACTCTTATCGAATGACAGACAATTTTCTCTGTCGGTGACATCATTTGCTTCAATTCACCCCTAACGTTGTCGTCGATTTGGAGCAGCTCAAATGAGCAGATTGTTTCGGTTAATAAACACACAGGTGAGTAATTTAATTCTTTGTTTTGTCTTTTTTATTATTTTGTTTTGAACGCTCGATAATCTAAAAATCGTGTTTGGGTAATAAAAACCACGACGTTAAATTCTTTGTTCAATTAGTTTTACGTACGTTTTTCAATTTTTCCTATGCCAGCTAGATGAAATTTAATTCCAAATTGGAATGTAGAGTTTTCTAATGACTCGAATTTTGAATTAAATTTCATAAAAATTTTACGACTATGTCTTATATAGTAGCTGGCATATGAACAATCCTCAAAAATAAAGTAACTTACTAGAAAAATCGTCATAGCTTCGATGTAAGCTTCGGCTTGCCGAAGCTTGCTTCTTTTTTTGCGTGGGCAGATTAAAAAAATAATAAATATTAATTCTCTTCATTTCATCTTCAGGTATTGGCCGTGTGTTAAACCATCGGCAGAAGCTGAGCGAAAAGGTAGAAATATTTAACGGCGACGAGACAAAACGCGGCGGGTTCATTAAGTACGACTTGGAAGTTCGCGAGTCGGATGCGGTAATACAGTTATTTATACCCAGTATCAATATCTTAAAAATAACTTTCTATAGATTGTCTTTGCCAAGTCTTTGGACATATTCAGCGGACCGGAATACCGGGGGCAGTTGGTTCTCCGTAACCACTTGCAGTCCGACAAGTACAGTAACCTCGTAAGTCCTTCAAATTAATATTGAATTTATTGGTACTAAAATATATATATTTCTTCGCCCATAGATTGCACAAAACGTTTCAAAGTGTGCCGGGCAGCTTGGTAGCCTGCCAGTGGATATCTTTACATGTCGCTTAGCGGCAAAGGAGGTACTCGGTCGCCAGCTGCTAAAATTGTACAAAGTTGAGGCCATGTTCGATGCTAGTGTCGGGCAGTATATCTGTCGACTGGAATTGCTTTCCAGCTTCATTGAATTGCTGGCCATTGTCAAGACAAACGACGTCTATTTGGAGCTAGAGGTTCGTTTCCTAGTTGTTCTCTAGGAACAGAATACTTACGCGATATACTCTTTTTTTTTGGAAAACAGGCGGTCATGCCAAACGGAATGTTGGATAAGATGTCATTGAAATTAGTACCCGGTATCAAGGTGATGCCCGAATCAGTCCGAGTTACTGATTTAAAGCCGCAGGAGTTTCATATAAGTGGACTGGACAAGGCGTTGCATAAGGTTCAGGTGAGTCGCTGGGTTGCAATCATCGTTACTAGGAGCAGTACATAATGGCTTTGGATAGCATTGTTGCTGTGCAAACAAAAAAAAAACAAGAAAGGAAGCTAGCTTCGGCAAGCCGAAGCTTATATACCCTTGCAGTCATAAAATATTTCGAACAGAATACACAAAGGCTAAACAACATCGAAGCTACGACGACTTTTCTTTAATTTTCGATATTTTTGGCTATTGTTCATATGGCAGCTATATGATAAGTCGTCCGATTTTGATGAAATTTATTATGCAATTCAAAATCAGTTAGAAAACTTTATATTCCAAAAATTATGCTTGTCTGATGAAAAACAACGATGTTATAATTTTATTTCCCGTATTTCTATATAGATTTTTCGATCTTTCTTATGGCCGCTATATGATAACGGTGTCGGATTTTAATAAAATTTTTTTCTCGGTTTAAGGGTAGTTCATAAAGTCGATGTTGTAAAAATCATGCTCGTGGAATAAAAAACAACAACGTTATGATTCTTTTCCCATTATTTCTATATACAGTCAGCACAAAATTTATTCGGACACCCGTGATTTCCAATCTTATTCATTAATAACTCAACAAATATACAACGAAAACAAAAAATTTATATTTCATATTGAGGAACAACATTCTTAACATCTATTTTAAAAACTAAATAAGAAACTTTTAACTTAAATACTAAAAAATATTCCAAAATTAACTAAAAAGTCTTTTTTTCTCGCACAAAAATTATTCGTAGACTTCAGAAAATCGATATAAAAACATCATTTTTTCAGTGAAATTTTTTTTTAATATTTTGTGGGTCCTCCCTTAGCATCTATTACAGCTTGTAAACGTCGACCCATGCTGTTCACCAATTTGGATGTCTCGTTAGCGCCTATCTACTCCATTCCGTTTGCAATGCTGTTTTTAGGGATTCCTTTGAGGATACACTGTGCGTTCGTATTCTTTTTTCAAGTAGGTTCCATACGTGTTCTATAGGGTTTAAGTCTGGAGATTGGGGAGGTGTTTTGAGCTGTTTGCAGTGATACAAGAGACATTCTTGCACCAAATAGGAAGAATGCTTTGGGTCATTATCTTGTTGAAACAGAAATTTTTTTGGATCAAGTCCAAGTTTTAAAACGCTGGGAATCAAATTTTTACTAAGAATATCCTTATACATCATTTTGTTCATTTTATCTTCTATGAAGACCATTTCACCGACTCCATAAGAGCCTACACACCCCCAAACCATTACATTTCCGCCACCATGCTTAATAGTTGGTATTAGATTTATTTCTTTCAAGGCTTCGTTTGTCTTTCTCCATACTTTGGGAGGACCGTCGTGTCCAAATATATTGAATTTGGATTCGTCACTGAAAACTACGTTCTGCCAAAACGATTCCGGCTTGCTGACATGCAGTTTTGCGAACTCCAAACGTTTTTTTTGTTAATGGCGGAAATGAAGGGCTTTCGACGAGCAACTCTACCGTGTAAACCAGCACTGTGCAGGTAGTTGCGGATGGTTTGGGCGCAAACTTTTTTTGCGTAGCTTCCTCTAGATTCTTTCGAATTGTGGAAGATGTTGATTTCGGGTTTTGTAAAACTGAAGACACAACTTTTCGCTCCTCGCGTGGGGTTAGTATTTTAGGCCTACCAGCTTTACTGTGATTTGCAGCTAAATCTCCGGTGTCCAGATATTTTTTAATCACACTATGAATTGTGGAAGGTGATTTGCCAATGATTCTACCAATTTCCCGGTAGCTCCGATTCTCCAAATGCAATTTTAAGATAGATTTTCGCAAATCTAAGGACAAATCTCGACTACGTCCCATTTTGACTAATCTTTTTAAGAAACGCAGCGAAACTAACACAAACAACATAAAAAAAAAGCACATCGAAGCCTACTCCTAAGTAATTCCAATGAAAATGCAAAAGAAGAATCACCAATTACCGTTGCAATCAGAAATAAAAGACAATAAATCAAAAGTGTACGAATAATTTTTGTGCAGCATTTTAGGCAGTTTTTTTGCATTTTGTCCACTAGATAAAGGGGCATTGTAAAAAAATAATTTTTTTTTATTCTAATGGCTTCAGAAAATATATGTTTTCATAATACGTAAAAAAAAAATTTTTTAAATTACGAAAGTTTTGTGAAAAATGCAGTTAAACTTTACAATAGTGAGCGTCCGAATAAATTGTGTGCTGACTGTATATTTTTTGATCTTTCCTATGGCAGCTATATGATAGAGTTATCCGATTTTGATAAAATTTAATCCAAAATTCAACAGTAATTAGAAAACGCGTAATAATTTTTTTCCCTTTATTTTTTTGACCTCTTGTATGGGAGCTATCCGATATAGTCGGCCGATCCGGCCCGTTCCGACTTATATACTGCGTGCAATAACTACACAACTTTTCGGAAAGTTTCAGCACGATAGCTTCAAAACGGAGAGACTAGTTTACATAGAAACAGACAGACGGACAGACGGACCGACGGACAGACGGATTTCGATTCAGATCGTGATGCTGATCAAGAATATATATACTTTATGGGGTCTGAGGTGTCTCCTTCACTGCGTTGCAAACTTCTGACTGAAATTATAATACCCTTTGCTCTGCAAGGGTATAATAAAGCTTAGCAGGAGCCTTTAAGAATAGCTTACTGAGCGCCAATTCGTTTTAAAATTGTATTTTCCAAAATTGTGCCGCGCCTGACGATGGATCTCTGTGATTCTTGGAGAACTTGCCATTTTTGATGGCCCCAAGTGTTAGCAAGTGTGTAAAGTCCGCCAAATGGGGTTTTAGACACCTTGTTGGCCTCATAATGAGCCAAACCGGGGCAGGACATGGGGAAATTGGAGGCCTTTTTCACTAGAAGCCGCTTATCTCGAACGTTTAACTTTGTTTTTTGGAGCCCTTTATAATTTTTTTTATAGTTTTCATTATCTGTTAATAAATTTACAACATTTCGCGATTTTTTTTTATTTTCGTGGCGATTTGGCTTACATTAAGGCCTGAGTCCAAATATGCATCAATTTTCCTCCATAATTTTCCCATCTTTATCCTGGAGTGCCGATCCAAGGCCTATTTTTGTTTCATTTGATCAATAATAGCAAAATATTGAAAAAAAAAAACGTTTTAAACAAACTGCGCACTGTACACAAGTGATTATTGACAAGTGTCCTATCCAAATGAAACGATTGTCAGCATGCAAAAAACCATGCAGCAGTGCAAAAACTCAAATAAACAAGAAAGGAAGCTAGCTTCGGCAAGCCGAAGCTTATATACCCTTGCAGTCATCAAATATTTCGAACAGAATACACAAAGGCTAAAGAACATCGAAGCTACGACGACTTTTCTATTAGTTTTCCATATTTTTGATTATTGTTCATATGGCAGCTATATGATATAGTTGTCCGATTTTGATGAAATTTTATTGGCTATTCAAGAGTCGTTAGAAAACTCCATATTCCAAAAATCATGGGTTTCTGATGAGAAATAACGATGTTATCATTTTATTTCCGTTAATTCTATATAGATTTTTCGATCTTTCCTATGGCAGCTATATGATATAGTTGTCCGATTTTTATGAAATTTTTTTTATAAATCAAGGCTAGTTAAAAAAACTTGATACTTAAAAAATCATGCTCGTGAGATAAAAAACAATGATGCTATCAATTTATTTCCATTAATTCTATATATATTTTTCGATCTCTCCTATGGCAGCTATATGATAGAGTTATCCGATTTTGTTCAAATTTAATCCGAAATTCAATAACAGTTAAAAAACGCCATCTTGAAGAATTCAAGTCGATCTGATAAAAACAACGGCGTGAGAATTTTTTATTTCATTCTCTCGTATAGGAGCTATCCGATATAGTCGGCCGATCCGGCTCGTTCCGACTTATATACTGCGTGCAATAACTACACAACTTTTGAGAAAGTTTCAGCAAGATAGCTTCAAAACTGAGAGACTAGTTTACATAGAAACCGACAGGAGGACAGACGGACAGACAGACAGACAGACAGACGGACAGACGGACAGACGTACATACATATTTCGATTCAGATGGTGATGCTGATCAAGAATATATATGGGTGATTCCATATCAGATTTACAGTCGATATTGAGAAATTCGATGAGATATTTTTTTCTTGCTCTTTATCGAAAATAAATCGACACGTATTTTTTTATATGGCTCAGAAAATTTTTTTGACAAAGTTATGATTTTTTGAACTTTTGATGAACTTCCCTTTTTTTGATGACAGTCGCGTTTTTCCAGCCCGAATAACTCGAAAACCGTACGTCGCAGGAAAAAAATATATAGGAAGTAAAAATTTCATCCTTCCTTCTTCTTTGCAAAACTTTCGTGAAAAAATTTTTTTAAACAATTTTTCACCACAAAAAGTTCAAATGTTAATAACAAATTATTTTTTCTCCAACTTGGACCATTTTGATTTTTTTTTTTTTTCACAGTAAATCCTTCACATTCTTCTGATGAACATACTAAAGTTTCAGAATGGTATCAAAATTAGTTTTTGAGTTACAGAATTTTAAAGATTATCATGCACGGTCCGCGCGCTCGGTCTCAGGGCGTGCGCCGACCAACGACTCTAACGAGCGTCAATTCGCTTCGCGCGCGCATAGTAAGGGTCAATAAAATGAATTTTTAATTCTATTTAATTCTGTAACTCAAAAACTAATTTTGATACCATTCTGAAACTTTAGTATGTTCATCAGAAGAATGTGAAGGATTTACTGTGAAAAAAAAAAAAAAATCAAAATGGTCCAAGTTGGAGAAAAAATAATTTGTTATTAACATTTGAACTTTTTGTGGTGAAAAATTGTTTAAAAAAATTTTTTCACGAAAGTTTTGCAAAGAAGAAGGAAGGATGAAATTTTTACTTCCTATATATTTTTTCCTGCGACGTACGGTTTTCGAGTTATTCGGGCTGGAAAACGCGACTGTCATCAAAAAAAGGGAAGTTCATCAAAAGTTCAAAAAATCATAACTTTGTCAAAAAAATTTTCTGAGCCATATAAAAAAATACGTGTCGATTTATTTTCGATAAAGAGCAAGAAAAAAATATCTCATCGAATTTCTCAATATCGACTGTAAATCTGATATGGAATCACCCATATACTTTATGGGGTCTGAGGTGTCTCCTTCACTGCGTTGCAAACTTCTGACTGAAATTATAATACCCTTTTGCTCTGCAAGGGTATAAAAAGTGGGGAAAGCAATAATGAAAAAATGTAACTGCATTTTAGAATCACAATAGAACAGAGATTATAACTTAAAAAAAAATTTTGCTTTCAACGATTTTTGTCATTGCTACGAGCGATTAACCATAAAAGTTGCTAGCTGTCCTATCCAAATGAAACGAACTGTATTTTGTTCGACATATTTAATGACTGCAAGGGTATATAAGCTTCGGCTTGCCTTTCTTGTTTTCGTTCTTTCCTATGGCAGCCATATGACGTTGTCGAATTTTAATGAAATTTTATTCTCGATTCAAGGGTTATTAAAAAACTCAATATTTTGAAACCCATGCTCGTGGGCTTAAAAACAGTGACTTGATAATTTCTTTCCATTATTTATTAATATTTTTTTCGATCTTTCCTATGGCAGCTATATGATAGAGTAATCCGATTTTGATAAAATTTAATCCGAAATTCAATAGTAGTTAGAAAAAAACGCCATCTGGAAGAAATCAAGTCGATCTGATCAAAAACAACGGCGTGAGAATTTTTTATTTCATTCTCTTGTATGGGAGCTATCTGATATAGTCGGCCGATCCGGCCCGTTTCAACTTATATACTGCGTGCAATAATTACACACCTTTTGGGAAAGTTTCATCAAGATAGCTTTAAAACTAAGAGTCTAGTTTACGGACAGATGGACAGACGTACAGACGTATTTCAGTTCTGATCGTGATGATCAATAATATATGGGTCTGAGGTGTCTCCTTCACGACGTTGCAAACTTCTGACTGAAATTATAATACTCTTTACTCTGCAAGGGTATAAAGATATAATATTTATTTTATAAATTAGGAGACATTTTTCTTATGAGAATGGTTCCCGTATGATACAATTCTTTTCATCATGTATATGAAACATCTGATATGGAGTTATTGTATTAGGTAATAAATTAATTTTGGCTTTTTTTTCTATTTGACACAGGTAAAACCTTCTGATTCAAAATACTTTGCTGTGGATTTCATTGAGCATGGACATGGTATAAGCAAATACCGTTTGCGATTCTTTGAAGACTTTCCGCTGGATGAAACCTTTTACGTTCTTGTTGTATCACCGGACACTGAGCAGAGCATCGAGGTTGGTTTTATTTACAGTATTTGTTATTTTAATCCAAGGTTTAGATTTTTTTTTTTAAAAAAGAAGCCATCCAAACATAAAAGGTTGTCAAATATCTCCGTTCTTTTGTGTCTTTTAAATTTCGCGGCTTTGCACAAAGCGCTTCAGAGCTCGGATCTGGGCATACTATAAATCATTTGAAGGAAGTTGACATAACCTACAAAACGACGCTACACTTTGCTAGGATACAAATATCACTTGTTTTTAACATTTTTTGGTTAATAACAAACGAATTACACCTGCGCAAAACAACTTTGATTAAGAAACATTTCTACTTTTGTTATTGCAGGTACCTATTGTTGGCAGCACAATGTTGGCCCAAAAATGCGCAGGCCGGCCATATGGAGGCCCCTTGGTGTACAGATTGTTGGAGAATCTTGGCTTTGTACTAACCACCACAGTGATTGTAATTTTTTCTATCTGGGGTAAGTTGTGAGACTTGTTTTTCATATTTTTTCATATTTCATTCATCTCTATGGTGCTGTAAATTCTGCAGTCAATTTAAGTTAATGTGGGCAGCAACGTTAAGGACAAAAAATCATAAAGTTAAGCAGCGCTTCAAGTTTTTTATCTGCACTTTTTGTAGTTGCTGTTGTTTACAGTTAATCGCTAGTTTCATGAATTTATAAGCAGTCCCGCAAAAGGCAGGAACAACCAAGATCGGCCACTGGATATGCAGACTTGCACTAAGCAAGTCCTTTGATACGGACCTTTTTGACGGTAACGCTTGAAGCATGACCTGCGTTTGGGAAATCGCTTCGTTAAACTTTTCCATATTCTTGCATTTTAACACGCGCGGCGACTGACTGGGATTGGTTTACGAAGTTCGAGGTCCAAAAGCTTGGCTCAGCGTTAGTTGAAGAAAAGTTTTTCTTTTTGGGACAGGCTTCATTGCCATTTTTCATCCTATTTCTGGGTTGTTTGTTTACCTTGCCTCGAGCTTGGATATGGATAGTGTTATCGGTTTGAAAACACTTTACACCCAATAAAAGTAAGAACAAGATGGTGACCAGCAACCTTGGCTAACCGTTTGCCGTGCTCGCTTGCCAAGTAAAAACTGATAAGAAGTTGTTGGTATTGCTGCCTACTTGCTGTTGGAGTGCTGCCTACCCTAACCCAGCCCAGAAAATGTATGCAAATTGCAGCCACCACATTTGTATTAAATTGAATGACTTTTATGGTGAAACTGCTCATATATACGCAAAACCTAAAACCACCCAACTAACTCAACCACCTTCTATTTTTCTTTCTATATCTATTGCAGTGTACATGTCTTGCTTCCAGACTCAGGGCGTCACGCAAGTCAACTCTGAGGGTAAGTGTAATTAATAATTTTGAGGGCGCGCATCCCCTAGGCTAGGAGAGAAGCTCAAACTGAGGCAGGGGCTGAAGACACGCACAACTTTTGCTACACTTCTCTATTAGTTTTAAGTTTTTAGTCATTTCGTGCATGAATACCAAAAAGTTTCGGGCAGCGGTGATGGCAGCCCGAGCGATAAAAGGCTCACTTTTAAACTATCATCAGTAGTGGAAACGATGGCAGCAATTGCCGAATTTCTTTAAAGAATGTTTTTGTTTTCACCGATTCGGTAGCTGGCGATTTATAAGAATAAAACAATAATAAAGACAACTTGAAAACATATTTGTTATGAAAATTTCGCAAAACACACGAATACTAGTCCCACAGTTTTAAAGTTAGAAATATCTGTACTCAATTATAGCATTTAATGACAAAAAAGCAAGCTTCGGCCCTTTTGTCTGTATGAATATTGCGTTGTTTAAGCTAGCATATTGGGGCTAAACATGTAGTTACTAATGGCGAATACGAAGGTAAATAAGTTTATTTTTTAAACCCTTGCAGATAATATTATAATTTCAGTCAGAAGTTCGCAACGCAGTGAAGGAGACGCCTCAGACCCCATAAAGTTTATATATTCTTGATAAGCATCAGAATCGAAATACGTCTGTATGTCTGTTCTCCTGTCTGTTTCTATGTAAACTAGTCTTTCAGTTTTAAAGTTATCATGCTGAAACTTTCTTAAAGTTGTGTAGTTATTACACGCAGTAAATACGTCAGAACGGGCGAGAACGGGATGGATCGGGCGACAATTTCGGATAGTCATACGAGAGATTGATAAAAATCGAACAACTATGTCATAAAGCTGCCATAGGAAAGATTAAAAAATCTATATTGAATTAAGGGAAATAAAATGTTAACATCGTTGTTTTTCATCAGTCAAGCATGATTTTTGGAATGGAATAACGAATTAAATTTCATCAAAATCGGACGTCTACATCATATAGCTGCTATATGAAAAATAGTCAAAAATATGGAAAATTAATTGAAAAATCATCATAGCTTCGATGTTCTTTAGCCTTTATGTATTCTGTTCGACATATTTGATGACTACAAGGGTATATCAGCTTCGGTTTGCCGAACCTAGCTTTCTTACTTGTTTTCCATTCATTTCCGTTAACTCTATATAGCAGTGTTTCTCAAACTTGTCGGGACCGTGACCCATCTATAAAAAAATTTGCAAGATCTATATGACAATTAGTACCTACCCAAAATCTACCCGCGACCCACACTTAGGGAAATACTGCTATATAGATTTTTTGACATTTCCCATAGCAGCTATATGATAACGTTGTCGGATTTTAATGAAACTACACAACTTTTGGGAAAGTTTCAGTAAGATAGCTTTAAAACTGAGAGACTAGTTTACATAGAAACAGACAGACCGACAGACATACAGACCTATTTCGATTCTGATGCTGATCAAGAATATATAAACTTTATGGGGTCTGAGGTGTCTCCTTCACTGCGTTGCGAACTTCTGACTGAAATTATAATACCCTTTGCTCTGCAAGGGTATAACAAGTCATAAAATGTTTATCTAGAATAGAAAAACTGTCATTACTTTGTTGTTGCTTAAGGGGTTATATCCAGTTGCGAGGCCAAAAAAATGAGCTTTTTTGAAAATTATTTTTGGAGAGGCTATTTATTGTATGTATACGTGTTATATATGAAAATATTGGTCATTTTTTCTAGTTTTAGAATACATTTAAAAAAAAAAAAAAAGTTGGACTCCGTCGTTCCTGTAGAGGATCTCCCGAGGGTCCACTTCAAAAAAGGGTTTTGCGGTGAGGAAAATATCTCCGGTCCAAATTATCAGAAATGCAAAAAACCAAAAGGATTACGCAAAGAATAGACAAATGCTGGTAATGAGACTTGGGATTTTCAAAATTTTGATTTTTGACAAAATGGCGGCATCTCAAACATAAAACTTTGTTTTTGGCACAAAAATTTCAACTTTGAAGTGGCTAAAAAAATCGAAATTTTTGTCGGAGCCAAAATTCCAAGTCTCATTACCTGAAAAAAATATCTAAGAAGAGAATGTGAAAGTTTCAAGTCAATCGAACAAGCCGTCTCGGAGAAATTTTCCTCACCGACTTTGAAGACATAGTTTCGAGAAAAACGCATTTAAAGTTTTGGCTACTAGTTGAACTACATGGGAGACGTCTTTACAAATACACTGATTACTCCAATACTATTTACCGGAATACTTTGAAATTTTCAGATAATCTTCTTAGATATACACTGCGCGTCATCAGATTAGCGCCCCCTGAGCATTCTCGGGTAATGTCCAATATTATCCAAACTATCAAGGCTAAAGCCATAAAACTTTTTTTTGACGATACTTTTAATAATATTCTTCAAAATAAGATAAGGTACATAATGATAAGTATAGCAATAATATTTTTTTTATTTGAAAAGAAAATGTATACCAAAAATATGAATTTAATTTTGCGTCATCAGATTAGCGCCCCCTGCTTAAATTTAATGAATTTTCACTTAATGCTTAACAACTAGTATTGTTTTATGTTTTATCTTATTATTTACTTATTTTCTAATCAAATTAATAGTGGGTGGTCCCGCCCCCGTTTTCCAGGACCTCACAGATCCTGCTGGGAAGTGACTCGTACAATTTCTCAATGTATTGTAATGAAATTGAAGACCAAGCTTTTTTAATCTCGTCGATGAGCTCCAATATGTACTATACTGCTTTCCAGACTCGTATACTTTTCTCGAGAGCCATCCCCACACGTTCTCTGTTATATTTAAGTCCGGAGAGTACGGCGGCCACTCCAGGACATCAACGTTTTGGCCAAAATTAATGAAAAAACCGGTGTGGAAGCTAGCAAGTCCACGGTATTACGAGTCATAAAAAAAGCAGAACAAAAGACTAAAACTAAAAAAAAAACAACTAAATAAGTTACGAAAGGAAATGCGCCTAAATTTTGCTCGCTCGCATATGACATGGTCTAAGGAGTGGCGCTTTGTAGTCTTTTCCGATGAAAATAAATTTAATTTAGAAGGCCCTGACGGCTATAATTACTTTTTCCATGACAGGCGTAAAGAAGAGCATATTTTAGATCGTTTACATAGCCGGGTAGGTGGCGTAATGGTATAGGGAGCCGTATCCTATTATGGCACCTATGAGTTGCAATTTTTCACCCCGAAAATGAACGCCGTGGCGTATAATAATCTTTTAAAAACGGCTTTCCCACATTTCCAAAATTGTTTTGGAAATCTTAAAAGGCGTTTTCAACACGACAACGCTCCAATCCACACTGCCCGATCTGTAAAATCGTGGATACAGGGCCAAAACGTTGATGTCCTGGAGTGGCCGCCGTACTCTCCGGACTTAAATATAACAGAGAACGTGTGGGGATGGCTCTCGAGAAAAGTATACGAGTCTGGAAAGCAGTATAGTACATATTGGAGCTCATCGACGAGATTAAAAAAGCTTGGTCTTCAATTTCATTACAATACATTGAGAAATTGTACGAGTCACTTCCCAGCAGGATCTGTGAGGTCCTGGAAAACGGGGGCGGGACCACCCACTATTAATTTGATTAGAAAATAAGTAAATAATAAGATAAAACATAAAACAATACTAGTTGTTAAGCATTAAGTGAAAATTCATTAAATTTAAGCAGGGGGCGCTAATCTGATGACGCAAAATTAAATTCATATTTTTGGAATACATTTTCTTTTCAAATAAAAAAAATATTATTGTTATACTTATCATTATGTACCTTATCTTATTTTGAAGAATATTATTAAAAGTATCGTCAAAAAAAGTTTTATGGCTTTAGCCTTGATAGTTTGGATAATATTGGACATTACCCGAGAATGCTCAGGGGGCGCTAATCTGATGACGCGCAGTGTATATACATTCAAAATAGGCAAAAAAAAATATTTCGATTTTTTCAAAATCGCAACTGGATATAACCCCTTAATATAAATATCTGGCATAGAAAATAAAATAATTTATGCGGAAATATAAAAAACTGCTTTCTAACATATCAAACTCGAAAATGACCATACTTTAATATTATATAATCTAATTACAGTATTCCAAAAAAAGAAATCGATTCCTTCTTTGAGCGGTTCTCCAAGATCAATGCATCAGGAAGACGCGATTAGTGGTAAGTCTGTCTTGCCTAGCCATAATTTAAATTTTTAAAGCATTTTTCTAATTTCCTTAGATTCCTTTCACTTGCGAAGCTTTTCTCCAGGTCGACGAAGTCCGCAATCAGTTTCCACATCGGAGGCCTATGTTTACGGTCACCCAAGGTTAAATTCTCCGAACAGATCTGGCAACTCTAGTCGCTTTAATTAGTTAATTTCTATACATATATATACCTAGTTTTAAGCCTTGTGCCAATCCTTCTCGGCCCTTTTGTATCATATATTAAAACTAACTCAGGGTTTAATTGTAGGACAAGTTGTTGTTACATTATTGTGCAGTTGCAGACGAAATGCATATATAAGAAATACTTTTAAGTTCGAGCTGTAGCAAGACCAACACGATTTCCGAACAGGCACAAAACAATACATTGGTTAATACACAGAACTGAATAAAGAAATACGGGAACAAGTCCTGCGCATTTATATATTATCTTGTCGCCTCCTGCCGTGCATTTCTCATTAGAAAAGCATCAAGTCAAGTATGCCATTAATTTTACATTTGCGCATTTGAAGTGTGCCACGCTCCACATGAGCTCTTGAAAAATGGGGAAGTACTCGACTGCATGTTAGGTTTTTCCTTTGCTCTTGTTAATTAGTTGCAGCTTCCACAGCTCAGCCAACTGGGTCAGCTTTCATATCAGACTTATTTTTCTAAAGTGCTACGCATGACACGTCAATTGAGTTATTAGCATTAATATTCACTCCATTATTTCGTCACTGCAATATGATCCTCCCATTATGCATTGTGCATACGTATGTGTGTACATATCCGCATAAGTTTATCATTTTAATACAAGTTGTTTGGCAGCGAAATGGAAATTTCGATTCCCTTTTTCGGTTTCCTTTACCACGTCAGCCGCTCTCATAAATTATAAATAACTTAATCGTGTCCGAGCGTATTGAACCGAAAGGCCTGAGCCTAGCCAAAAAAAGGGCCACGAACCCAAGCTGAATCTCACTTTTAGCATCTTGAGAGGATTGGATGGAGCTCGAGTTGACGCGGCAGGGCAGCTGACAAATGCACAGGCGTGCCCAATCTTTTCCACCCACTCTAGGTTGATTAAGATGTTTCGACATGACTTCACTCATGTGTTAATGCTCGGTAGGTGTGTGCGTGTGCGGACGGGCAAGCATGCTTGATTTGCTCATTTCCGGTTCATTGAAGGCCAACTGGGAGAAGACCACGCTCATATTATGTACAAACACACAGCAGAGTACATAGTTTTCAAGCGATATTCTAATCGGATTTGTGTGATTGCCATATACTCGTATGTGAGTTATGTCCAGGCTCGTTCCGTAAATACTCGACGCTCTCTTTTCGGCTCACTAAGCAAGTTAATTATTAAAACAACAATTAGCATCCAAGGTATTTATGAATAGTCAACTAATACTTGCTTTGCTGCATACATTTGTATATAAGTGCATAAATAAATATTAAGTGGGCTATTTAGACACATGAAACCCTAAATAGTATGTCAAATTACAAATCGGCAACAACTTAACATAAATGTGCTTATATTATTCAATTGTATTAATTTGATTTATCCAAACTTTATAAATCAAACTGTATAAATTTGATAAACAAAACTTAAAACTTTTGGTCTTGCGCGTAGGTTTAGTAAAAAATGTCTTAAGTTAAGTATGTCATTAATGTTGTCGTTTTCTGGTGATTTTACATGTTTTATTTGCTGGCTTAAATTCGAATTTTTTTGGCTATAGTAGTTATCTATTTATTAATAAAAAAGTTTTGATTTATCATTTTCTAACTTAAATTTTATTTTCTTTGGTCTTGGGTGACTGGAAGTTTCAGAACCTTGTGTAGAGGCAAAATTGAATTCATCAATATTCCGTACATAAAGTATAAAAATACAAGACTGGCAAATATCACACAATGCATTGAATGCCTTTGGTAGGTCAGCTTTCAGACGCTTGGACTAATTAGGCGCTAAGCTTATCTTTGAAAAGTGTTACGTTGTTGTAAGTTCTATTTGGATAGTAGAGTGCCCCACGTTATAGATAGGCCCGGAGACAAGTTTGGTTGCCGCCTGCAGAACCGCATTTCCGTCAGCTCGAGAGTCTGCCAAAAAGTTAAGGAAGGTGAAAGTGGCTCCGCAGAAGTTTCAGAGACTTACCGATGACCAGGTGTGCCATCATCACCCTTTGCTGGGTAGTTTGCTGCCACAGGTTTAGGTGGTGCACAGATCTGTCAATAGAAGCATATCTTTTTAGTGGATGTGCGCTTTGCAGACTCGTCGTTTTTACTCACCTGACCCCCTCTAAGCTGGCAAGGTCGTAATGCAGGGTGCGCATGCTGACGTTTCGCGGCACTGCGTTTATGAGTATAGCCACCGACTCCCGAAATAGCTGGACCGTCGTTATTATTACAATTATCGAGAAGATAAGCGTGCACAGGGGATCAGCATATTTGGCACTTGGCTACAAATATTAATAGTTATGCATATATAGTTATGTATATAAAAAACAAGAAAGGAAGCTAACTTCCGGAGGTCTAATTTCCAAAAATCTTGATTGTCTGCTAAAAAACAACGATCTTATCATTTTTTTCCGTTAATTTCCGATATATAGATTTTTCGAAATTACAAAACACCATCTAAAAGAAATCAAGTCGATATGGTCCAAAAAATGGCGTGATAATTTTTTTTTCTTTCTCTCGTATGGGAGGCATTCGATATAGTCGCTCGATGCGGCCCGTTTCGACTTATATACTGCGTGGAATAACTTCACAACTTTTACGTAAACTTCAGCAAGATAGCTTTAAAACTGAGAGACTAGTTTAAATAGAAACAGGCAGGAGGTCAGACGGACAGACGTACAGACGTAATTCGATTCAGATTCTAAAATTATAATACCTAACTAACTAACTAAAATTACAATACCCTCTACAAGAGTATAACAATATAAATCAAAATAATAATTAGACAATAACTTCACTAAGCTGCTTACAAAAATATTAAGGGAAAAAGTTGAAGAAGAGTCTTTAATATATATTTTTTATACATTTGCCGTTCTGCAATGTTTTGATCCGAGAAGAATATGAATTAATTTATTATCCGAAGCAAAAACTCACATAAAATTTGATAAGAACGGCTGCCAGAAAAACCCCAATGCTCTGCACCAGATCTCCAATTACATGAATCATAGCTGCTCGAAGGTTTAAATTTTTCTCCTCGCGAACCACTTCTGAGTTCATCGCCCTGCGGAGAGAGTGACAGGGTAAGAATGCAGTTAGAAGCCAATATTAATTAATTTTAATCAGATAAAAATCAAAACATATACTAATTCAATTGCAAATTCAATTTAAATCACTTCTAATAAAACAAACAAGTGTCCACAACCGCAAGCAAAAAGGTTAGGGCCTGAATTTTTGTTGGCTTTGCAAATTCGGTTTTTGGCGATTGCTACTGCTTACCGCAGGCCATAAAATTGCAATTGAATCAATATTTGTGGCATATGTTCTTGCTACGTATGTATGAGCACCTACCCAGACTCCTTTATTCCACCTGAAACTATGTTATGTTCGTTTGTGACTTTATCACTTCTTTCAGCTGTTGCTGTTGCTAGCGTGATTAACTCGCTCTCATTACCAGCTGAAGTGAGTACGTAGGAACTTGATTGGGTCTGCAAGGAACCGTGACTGTGACTGTGGCCGTGCCCATGACTATGACCGTGACTGTGACTATGGCCGTGTCCAACGCCCTCAAACCAGGAGCCATGCAGGACGAATATCATTCTGTTAAAAAATATATATTTAAAGGATAATGGTATTTAGTAAATTAGAAAGGGTCCTTTGACAAGCCAAGACAATTTAATTGTTTTTATTTTCTTATACCCTTGCAGAGGGTATTATATGTAATCAAGGGCGTCGCAGCCGATGGCGCAGGGGGGACAAGTTGACTTTACCTACTACAATTCATACATTTCTCGTTCGATAGAAAAGTAGGGTTATATTGTTTAAATTTTACCAAGGATCCCTAATTTTTTCAAAATTAAATGTAGCATAAAAAACTTGTAAATGGGTTTTAACATTTATTAGAAAAATAAAATAAAAATGAGTTTGAAATCTCTCGGGGGGGGCAGCTGCCCCTCTCGCCTTCCGGCCACCAAAGTCCTGGAGAACCGATACAAACAAAGGTAGAACGCGAGAAAGGGACGCCATGAGTTGGGGCTGCTTTACGTGACGGAGCCTTGGACCAATAAAAAAGAGGAATCAAAATATGAAATGGAAAACTAATAAGATACAGTAGAATCCGCTTATAGTGACTTTCAAGGGACCGACGAGTTTTCGTCGTTATACCCGGAAGACGCACTAAGCAAAAGGATATAAGTGTATAAGTCTGTCTGGGGACCAATCAAGCCATCGAGTTTTCGTCGCAATACCCGGACGGACACCATAAGCGGAGTCGTTATAACAGGATTCTACAGTATTTTGCTGACCGATCTTTGCGATTTTGCTTGCAAATGTGCGTCAAAGATCAATAAAAAACTACAAACCGAATCGGAAGCTAGCTTCGGTGAGCCGAATATTTATACCATTGCAGTCAATAAATATGTCCAACAAAATACTTTAAATCTAAACAACATAGAAGCTATAATGATTTTTCTATTAAATGTCTATATTTTCGAATATTTTTTATATGGCAGCTATATGATATAGTCATCAATTTTTTACCTTTAGCACGAACTCGGTCTTACACGGTGACGAATTTGCTCCCATCCCCCTTTGAACACGGTTAAAACCTCGTTCTTACACGATTGCAAAATATCGATAATGAAATAGACAGATTTATTTTGATAATGAGCCAACAAAAAAGAAAACATGTTAAAACAAACTCGCCACCAAATGGATTTTAAATTTGATCTTATTTTTTAACATTTTTAAGTTTCTTTAAAGTTTAACGTGCTAATTAATTAAATAAAGCAACTTTTTTAATTTAATTCCAACTTTTAATTTTGAAAATATAAACGTTAAATGCATAAAATAAAGGCATATACATAATAACTTTTGGTTAATTTTGAACCAATGTATGAAACTTTAATAAAAACAGACCAAATATGAACAATAAAAAATTTGTATTGCTATGAACTTTGAATTTTGAGAACGTTACCCCGTATTTTGTACTGAATGCACGTTTCGCTTAACACGATTTCGCTTAACGAGAGGATTTCTAGGAACGTAACCCCCGTGTTAAGCGAGGGCCAAGTGTATTTATAATTCTAAATTTCGGTTTTGATAAAAATTTTATTTGAAATTCACTTGTAGTTAAAAAAATAAAAACATCTGGAAGAAATAAAGTTGATATGATCAAAAACCATGGAGTAATAATTTTTTAAAGTTATTTTTTCGATCTCAAGCTTACATAGAAATTGAGATCGTAATGCTGATAAAGAATATATATGCTTTATAAGGTAAGGCTGTCTTCTATTGGAGCTATCCGATATAGAAGCCCGATTCGGCCTGTTCCGACTCATATACTGCGTGCAATTACTACACAACCTTTGATAAAGTTTCAGCAAGATAGCTTTAAACTGAGAGACTAGTTTACATAGAAACAGTCAGACGGATAGGCGGAGAGACGTATTTCGATTCAGATAGTGATGCTGATCAAGAATATATATACTTTATGGGGTCTGAGGAGTCTCCTTCACTGCGTTGCAAACTTCGACTGAAATTATAATACCCTTTGCTCTGCAAGGGTATAAAAATAATCTAACGCGTTTTCAAAAAACGCCAAAGCTATATCATATAGGCCTCCGATTTCTATTAAATAAAGTCGTCAGATCCGGGCCGTTCCGATTTAAATACTGAGGGCAATAACTATACAACTCTTGGTTAATTTTCAGCGGGATAGCCTTACTAAAATTATAATACCCTTTGCAACAAAACTTTGCCCAAAAAAAAAATTCACTTACACAATGTTTATGGCAATGCCAATGCCTGAAATGACCATCATCATATCGACGTCCAGCGTAAAATCCTGTGAATAGATCCTCTGAATGGCAACTACTACGAGGAGGGTGGTGAGAAGCCAGATCCCCAATATAGAGGCAAGGGCGCCGATGACCTCTGTCAAGGTCAAGGCAAAAATCAAACGAAACATTCAAGAGAATGTACTGGAATAGATGACCAGCAATCTGGACGTGCTTGTTAAAGATGAAGTGGCCGTCATAAAGGCAATACTGTGGCGACTGGTTAAAGCGAACAATATTGCATCGTACTGGCCTGGATTACCATATAGCGGGTTTGTGTGCGGTACACTCATTAGCACAGTGTCAAACATAATTTGTTACTTACCGAATCGTTTGTAGCCAAAGGACATGCGCTCGTCAGGCGGCCGACTTCCCACCCAAATAGCAACCAGCCCGATGACAAAACTAATGCAATCTGATGCTAAATGGGCGGCATCCGACATAATGGCCAGGCTTCCGGCCACGTAGCCTCCAAGGAATTCAATGATCTGCGGTTGCCGTCAAGTGCGGTGGTTTCGTCGCAGGACATGAAATGTATCATAATTAAATCAACAATGCGTGCCTTCACATGTACAGATTGGAGGCGGGGGGTGGCGGGCGCCTTCTCACCATAAATATGCAACACAAGGAAACTGCAAGCAGAATTTTAAATTTGGCCTCCTGTGCGGATTTGCTCTTTAGGTTGACACCGAATCCAGGCTGACGGCTGCGGCACTCGGTTTCCATGTCAAATTCCACACGCTCGTGCTCAGAGTGCTGCAAGTGACCACGTAAATTGCTTATAAATATGAGTGTGCATACTTCGGTCCGCTGCATATAAATGGCCCACGGAGGAGTTTTGTTCCGCAACTAAGCGGCTTCACTTCACCTGGTTGCTCGTGTCGTCATCGCAGTCGCCCAGCAGTGGCACTTCCCACGTCTGCTCTTCAGGGATTCGGGCGGCTTTTGTTCCTATTGTCACCACTTCACCCTCAACACAGTTGTTGGGGATGTGGTATTTGCCGTGGCCGTTTGGCAGGCTAGCGGACCGATTGGTAGTCTGCTGCTGGAGGCCCGGATCCTGGCGATTATCATCAAAGTACAGCGGGTATCCCTCCTCGCAGTCGTCCTCATCGGCGGCGGGGTGCAGGGCGCTGTCAAGCTTCTGATATTTTGACATGCTCTTTGGTCTCGGTTTGCGGTGCCCTTTGTTATTATTATTTGCCTTGGCCTTTGTGCGTGTGCTTATGTCAGCGTCTGCTTATGTTGCTTGGGCCTTTGTAGTTTAGTTAACGTAATGTGAGCACCGCATTTATCATAATTAATGTGCGCTATGTGCTCCGGCATCTGTCGCATTAAATCAATCAGCTACAGACATAGCCAAGCGATCGCACCTCTTTGGTTTAGTCGGAATTGAAGCGGCTCTCGTTCATCCTGCAAACAAAAAAAATACTCACACACATGTGAATAAGTTGAGTATGAGTTTTTGTTAGTAAACAGGTACTATAGAAAAACTTTAATAATTTCTATTTTAGTGCTTATGTGTTAAAAGATTTAAAAAAAAAAAAAAAGGAAGCTTAAATACCCTTGCAGTTAAAACTGCAACTCAACAGAAATCTATAGTAACGAGATTTATCTGTCCGTCTGTCTGTTTCTATGTAAACTAGTCTCTTAGTTTTAAGGCAATCTTGCTGAAGCTAAGATGGAAGTGGCCAAATCGGGCGACTATATTGGATAGCTCCAAAACGAGAGATAGAAAAAAATATTACGCCGTTGTTTTTGATCATATCGATTTGATTATTTCCAGATGGTGTTTTTAAACTACTATCGAATTTCGTATTAATAGTGATCAAAATCAGATAGCTCTGTCATATAGTTACCATAGGGAAGATCGAAAAATATATAAATAAATAATGGCAAAAAAATTATAACGTCGTTGTTTTTTAACCCACGAGCATGATTTTTAGAACATCAAGTTTTTTCACTATCCTTCAATCAATAAAAATCGGACGGCTATATCATATACATAGTTGCCAAAGGAGAGATCGAAACATCTGTATAGAATTATCGAAAAAAAATTATAACGTGGCTGTTTTTCATCAGACAAGCATAATTTTTGGAATATAGTGTTTTTCAATTTCTTTTGAATTTCGAATTAAGTTTCATGAAAATCGGACGACTTTATCATCTAGCTGACCTATGAGCAGACGTCGAAAATATAGCTTCGCTGTTGTTTAGCGTTTATGTATTTTGTTGGACAGGGTATATACGATTCGACTCACCGAAGCCATTCATTCTTGTTTTTCTTCAAAAAAGTATTCTTTAAAAATATCTGCTTTGTTCCCTAAGTAACATTTGAGGTTAACAAACACAACCAGATAGTTTCTTTTATTTGTTCGCCACTGAATGTACATACATACATATTATTTATGGATAAGCTCGTCTAATGATTCTGATAAGAACATATGGATGTGTTTACTCGTTAAGGTCTATTAAATAAATTCAGGACAGAAGATCATTTAAACTTTGAGCTAGAATTTGTATGCGTAAAACTGTCTGTTGCTGGCAGGTTAATTTTAATTACCTGCTCTTACATACCTCCTTCGTCCGAACTTGAGGACTATTTTAGGCACCTATCAGTTATAAAGTCAATTTCGAGTTCTTTGTCCGATATGGATCAGTTAGTAGTTCTAGGTGATTTTAATATACCTGGAACTACGTGGTCCTCGGATGATAATTCCAATGCTTTACAACCCTTAGGCCAAAATGAATTCATTGACGGTCTACTTGACATACCTCTGTGTCAGGTAAACCATGTTCGAAATTCTTTAGATCGCTTACTTGATTTGTGCCTCGTCTCAAATCCTGAAAGTGTTGTTCTTTCTAGAGCTACTCCACTTACGCTGCCTGAAGATCCATATCACCCTGCTTTCGAGGTGACTATCGACATTGGTATAACAGTAAAAAATAATGCTTTAAAGTCAGCCAAGCGAATTCATTGTTTTCGCAAGGCTAACTTTCTGAGACTTAATCATCTTATATCTGGCAATGACTGGTCCGATCTCTATTCCTGCAATAATATGGAAGACGCCATTACAATTTTTTATTCGGCAATCAAACTGTTTTTTAACTCGTGTGTTCCGCTATATAACCCGTCAACATCCCATAAACCACCTTGGTTTAGTAAGGAGTTAACACACCTTAGGAATGTAAAGTCCAGACTTTATAAAAAATATAAAATTTCAGGTTGTCAGTCTGTTTTTGGAAAATACATAAGAGCTCGGTCAAACTTTACCGTGCTTAACGCTCAGTGTTACAAAAATTATTTAGTCCGTTGCAGGTCCCAGTTCTTACGGGATCCCAAACAGTTCTATAATTTTGTCAACACTAAGCGCAGATCATGTTCCTTTCCGCCTTCGCTTTCGTTTGAAAGTAGGACGGCTAACACTGATCAGGCAATAGCTGATCTGTTTGCCCAATTCTTTCAAACAACTTACTCAACAGTGTCTCATTCAAGTGAGCAATATTTATACGCAATACCTAAGTCGAACCTAATATTTCGTCCCACCTTAAACGAAAGCTCCCTACTTTTGGATCTTCAACGTGTTACACCAGTTTACTCCCCAGGTCCTGACGGGATTCCTGGGTGCGTTCTTAAACACTGTGCAAATGCATTGTGCAAACCCCTTCTCAAGCTGTTTACCCTATCCCTACAAACTTGTCAGTTTCCCCTCATTTGGAAGGAGTCATTTGTCATTCCCCTTCATAAAAAGGGAAGCAAGTCGGATGCTTGCAATTATAGAGGTATTTCTAAATTGTCAGCAATTCCAAAGCTTTTCGAACGTGCAGTAACCCCCCACTTGCAGCACCTTTGTAGATCAATCATATCTCCATGCCAACACGGATTTATGAAACGCAGGTCTACCACAACAAATCTTCTAGAGCTCACATCCTTCGTGATAGATGGCTTTAAAAATAATTTCCAAACTGATGTCATTTACACAGACTTCAGTAAAGCATTTGACTCTGTAAATCACTTCCTAATGATTCGCAAACTTGACATGATGGGGTTTCCAGCAGATCTTTTAAGTTGGATCTTTAGTTATCTCAGTGGCCGAACTCAAAGAGTCCTTTTCAAAAATTCCTTAAGCGGTCTCCTCAGAGTTACCTCTGGTGTACCACAAGGAAGCCATCTGGGACCATTACTTTTCACTTTGTTCATTAATGATCTTCCATCGATCATTACGCATTCCCGCGTACTTATGTACGCGGACGACGTAAAACTCTGTCTGCAGTATAATGATTGCTCCCGTCATTTAAGCCTTCAGGCAGACCTAAACAATTTTCAAAACTGGTGTCACGACAATTTACTAAAATTAAACAGCTCCAAATGCAAGCTGATGACGTTCTGTCGGGTCAATCCGCATAACGTCACCTATTCGCTAAGTGGTGGTGCCTTGGAAAGAATAGCGCTTGTTGACGATCTTGGCGTCCTATTGGACCCCAAACTTAAATTCACTCTGCATATTTCGAGCATGGTTAATAAAGCTAGGGGAATGCTTGGATTTATTAAACGATGGTCGAAGGAATTTGAGGATCCTTACGTTACCAAGGCTTTATTTATATCGTTGGTCCGGCCAATCCTCGAGAATGGGGCACCCGTTTGGAGTCCTCAATACGGAGTACATGCTGATCGCATTGAATCAGTACAAAAAAACTTTTTAATTTTTGCACTACGCCGCCTTAACTGGAATGCAAACCTATTCCTACCCTCATATTCGCATAGATTGCTCCTCATTAACCTGCCCTCCCTTACTAACCGTAGAACGATGCTTGGTACTGTATTTATTCATAACCTTATACGTGGTGATATTGACTGTCCTAATTTGCTGAGTAGACTAAATTTCTCGGTACCAAGTAGATTAACTAGAAATTATGTTCCTTTAGTTTTAAATCAGTGTAGACGTAATTATAACGTGCATGAGCCTTTCAGAGTACTTTGTTCTGACTACAATAGACTTTTTCCTATTTTATCCTCTTCTGACTCTCTGCAGCTCCTTAAGCAATTAGTTTTAACATTTCTGGCACAAAATTAGATTGCTAAATTTAAACTTAAATTAAATTTAAAATTTTTCTTCGTTTTTAATTTTTTTTTCTTAATTAACATCGCGTCAAATTTAACTTTTCTTTCGCGTCAAAATTATCGCGAATCGTGCCGTACGTTACACGGCGGTCGCCCCTCGGTCGGTTGGGCGGGAAAGTGGGCCGTGGGACTACGCGCGAAAAAAAAAAAAAAAAAGAAACCTTTTCACTCTTGTAACGGGTAAAATAACTCCCAAAGTGTTCTTCGTCCCAACATGAACAGCCGCCAACGATTATAAGGTAAATGTGTTCTAATCGGAACTGTGGGTTCTTTTTGATTACTATACAATCTGTTCTTGTTTCTTGCTGTGCGCTTTTTGTTTTTTTTTTTTATCGTTGGCAAGTTTTATGTACGACCGCACGCATTTATTGTTTTTCTGCCTTGAGGCACTTAAGTAGCGATAAGCCCCACGTTCCCCATTACAGTCGTCAAAGCACCAGTAAAATTACTTACAAACTTTGATTAACTTGTCGACACGCACACACCCGTATTCATACTGCACACAGAAAAAAATTTACAAAATTTTCAGTTCTGTCAAGTCGCAAAGATTTTTTTTTAAAGAAATAATGATTTCAAAATAATAATTATGACACTAAAATAATGAAAACTGCACAAAAACAGTTTTTACATTATGTCTACGAATAAAAAACGTTTAAACTAGTAGTCTCACCGAATGTTGAAATTGTAAAAAATGATTTGTCTAGAATATCGTTTTTTATCTGGGTAAAATTTTCTGTTGCAGTAAAGGTTTACAATATATTTAACAAATGGTATTTACACCTTCTAAATAAAAATATACCCTTTTATTGGGAAGATTTTAAAATTTAAAACTTTTCGTCCCGCACACTCACAGTGCGCTTCGGCACTATGTAAACAACAATGTGAGCTGTGTCCGTCAATGGAACATAGGCAAACTGATAAAAAATACGTGCTGTAGAATTCAGATTTTATGAAAATTTATTGTCATTGTTCTTCAATTTAATCTGGTGTATGGGTATTTTCATTGTTTTCTATCCATACAGTTTATTTATGGCAACGGCAGTGCACGGCGCCCGAGTGTTCTTATGAGCTGCTAATGGCGTATTTTCTAAAGCTAATTTTACGTCACATTGCGGGGGCAGAATAACCACAAAAATGTTTTTTTTTAACTTCTCATTTACACAGGCATCTTAAACAAAAGATGTAGAACATTTTTTAACAAAGGGCGGGGAAGACCGCGCGTTGACCTTATCAACAGGTTTTGGGTTTGCCAGTGTGTAATGAATATGATTCCAAAACTTCCTCTCTGAAGCTCTCTCATTCCAACTCTCTTCAACTTTATGATTAAATTGCCTCACTTGTGACAAACAAGTGTTTAAATTGATTAAAAGTTTTAAATTTTTACAGTTATTCTTCACTGCGCTAAGTTCGTATTCCTATTGTTGTTAGTTTCTTATGTAATCAATAAAAAGTTTATGCGTATTATTTACAATTGTGGGCTCACGTCATTCCACTGCGTTGCAATCAATTTTGTTTGCACTTCGATCACCCCGCGTTCATTATTTTTTTGCCAGGAGGAATAAACAGTGTTATTTACACTCCCCTGCAAAACGGTTCTCGATCGCGCCCAAGGTTTTTTTCGGTGTTCGCAGCGACGCGTGAAGTTCAACTAACAGCAGCAACGTTGAAGACTCAGTTTGTGTGTTCACAGCGAACAGGAGAGAGAGTGGAAGTAAATCTTAGGTGCCGGCATTGCTCTCTCGCCCAAGTGCCAATCATCAGAGAGCGACAGGTGCCTTTAAAAGTAAAGAGAATTCGTGCTTTTGATTCGACCATCGATGCATTGCACTGCCGTCAACGTGGTTCACGGTGGTTCGGCTTGTTGTTAAATAAAAAGAAAAATATTTTTGATATATCGACGCATTTCCGCGAAAGTATCGTATGTCGCTTTTTTTCGAAATTGAGATTTTAATGCAAAATTGTTAGGCACCTAATGTCTCACTACCCTGTGCAATACTATAACTGAAAGCCCTATAGTTCCGATAAAAATTAAGTCTCAATTTTATCGTATGTTACAATGTGCGGGCGAAATTATCGTATGACCATACAAATTTTTTTTCATTTGCATGGAAATACTGCAATCACACAAAAATACCGAAATACAAAAATAAAGAAAAAGCTTCTCCTGTAAAATTTGATTTTTCAACATACGATACATTCGCGGAAATGCGTCGATATAATAAAACAAGAAAAGAAGCTAGCTTTGGCGAGCCGAAGCTTACATATATACCCTTGCCGTCATCAAATATCTCGAACAAAATAGATAAAGGCTATGACGATTTTTATACCCTTGCAGTGCAAAGGGTTTTATAATTTCAGTCAGATGATCAGATCGACTTGATTTCTTCCAGATGGTGTTTTTTAACTACTGTAGAATTTCGAATTGAATTTTATCAAAGTTGGATAACTACATACATATTTCATATAAATTAATAAATTGATAACGTTGTTGTTTTTGAGTATAAACTAGCTAGCCTTGAATTATGAAAAGAAAACAGAATTTGGACCCGGTCTGTTTCGACTTATATACTGCGTACAATAACTACACAACTTTTGGTAAAAAATCATCGAGATAGTTTTAAAACTAAGAGACGAGTTTATATAGAAACAAACAGACGAACAGGTGGATCGACGGATAGACGAACCTTGTCTAGATCGATTATGGTGAAGCTGATCAAGATTATATAAGCTTAATATGGGTTGAAGTGTTTCCCTGACTGCATTGCTAACTTCTGAAATTATGAAACTACCTGCAAAGGTGTAAATAATTAGAAATGGAAGTTTACCCTAAAGCTGTTTTGTTGTTGAGGATCGGACTTAAAGGTCTTAGGAAAGGCTTAAGGCAGGTTCTCACCTTGTGGCAAAAAAAAAATTGATTTTTTTTTTTGCTTATCGTATGGATATATTTTCCGAAAATGTTCTCAAAAAATTTCAGATCCAAATTTGAAATATTACAAAAGTTACAGGCTCTTACATGGAGCACATGTCGAGCCAAGGCCATTGGAAGCCAAAACTTTAAACGCGTTTATCTCGGAACCACGTTTTCGGACCTTACGGAAGTAATTGAAGGCGTTGGGGTTAACCAATCGTCATCAAATTTTTCTTTTAATGTTCCTAATTGTTTCCTTTAACTAATGAACTAGGATTATCCAAAAATATTGAAAACTGTTTAATTGAAAAAATAATTCGTGAGAAAAAAAGCGCGGAAATCGAAATTTTTTTTTAAAAGCTTATAACTTTTGCAATTTTTTTTTTGTCTGATCCTAGTTTATTTTATGCACAGTACAGTACACTTTAACAATCTTTTTGGTTTTTGTGTTTCCGATTATCCGTTTTGGCTGAAGCCAAAACCCGTAAGCGGGACACCTTTTTGCCGAAATGTTGCAACTGAGGAACGCCCACTCCCGCCCCTTTTTGGTTTTTCAATTTTGAAATTTTTTTTCGCAAAATAAAAATTTGTTTTCAAATAAATTTACAAATTTCGGATTTTTATCTTTAACCGTTTTCTCAAAACAATTTTAGTTTTAAAAAAATTTTTTCGCATTTTTTTTTTTTTTTTTTTTTGAATGTCCAATATGTCGAGAACATTGTGTAAATAAATTCAAAATACTTTGAATCGATTTTGCCGAAGACGTTATTTTGAAAGTCGGTGAACATCAGAACTCAAAATCTACTGAACCGATCCTTTTTAAATTTTTAACACAAATTCTCAACATAAATACGCAGGTAATCAGGAAGAATTTTTTTATTTTTTTTCTATTTTAAAAAAAATAAATTAACAGCGATTTTTTAAGCTTTCTTTTTTCACTTTCAAGTGCTCCCAAAAATAGACAAAAAATAAATAAAAACAAGAAAGGAAGCTAGCTTCGGCAAGCCGAAGCTTATATACCCTTGCAGTCATCAAATATGTCGAACAAAACGCATAAAGGCTAGACAACATCGAAGCTAAGACGATTTTTCTATTCATTTTCCATATTTTTATACCCTTGCAAAAGGGTATTATAATTTCAGTCAGAAGTTTGCAACGCAGTGAAGGAGACACCTCAGACCCCATAAAGTATATATATTCTTGATCAGCATCACGAGCAGAATCGAAATATGTATGTACGTCTGTCCGTCTGTCCGTTTCCGCGCAAACTAGTCTCTCAGTTTTAAAGCTATCTCGCTGAAACTTTCCCAAAAGTTGTGTAGTTGTTGCACGCAGTATATAAGTCGGAACGGGCCGGATCGGCCGACTATATCGGATAGCTCCAATACAAGAGAATGAAATAAAAAAAGTGTGTGCGTACAAAGTACACATGTCAGAAGTGAAACTTCTTTGGCGAACTAATTTATCAGTCTTGTCTATATTTATACAAATCTAAAACTTTAGATTTCCGAGACTTAAAGAAAGGGAAAAAGGAAGAAATGTTAGGATTTTAATTTTCATTAAAATATTAAAAGTGTTGAAAATTAATATAAATTATAAATTTAGTTTTTTAAATTTATTTGTTCAATATTTACACTATTCGACACGTTTCCTATGAGTATTGTTTTTAAAAACAAGAAAATAAGCTAGCTTCGGCTTGCCGAATACTCTTGCAGTCATCAAATATGTCGAACAAAACGCATAAAGGCTAAACAACAACGAAGCTAGGACGATTTTTCTATTCATTTTCCATATTTTTGTCTATAGATCATATGGCAGCTATATGATCAAATTTAATTCGTAATTCGAGAGTCGTGGGAAAACTTTATATTCTGATTTTTGGAGCTTATCCGTTATTTTTATATAATTTTTTGATCTTTCCTATGACAGCTATAAGATATAGTTGTGCGATTTTCATGAAACTCTTTTCTCAACTTAAGGGTTATTAAAAAACCTGATATTCAAAAAATTATGCTCGTGGGATAAAAAACAACGATGTTATCAATTTATTTCCATTAATTCTATATATTTTTTTTCGATCTCTTCTATGGCAGCTATATGAAAGAGTTATCCGATTTTGATAAAATTTAATCCGAAATTCAATAGTAGTTAGAAAACTCCATCTTGAAGAAATCAAGCCGATCTGATCAAAAACAACAGCATGAGAATTTTTTATTTCATTCTCTCGTATGGGAGCTATCAGATATAGTCGACCGTTCCTGCCCGTTCCGACTTATATACTGCGTGCAATAACTACACACCTTTTGGGAAAGTTTTAGCAAGATAGCTTTAAAACTGAGAGACTAGTTTACATAGGAACAGACAGACGGGCAGACGTACATTCGTATTTCGATTCTGATCGTGATGCTGATCAAGAATATGTATGTATACTTTATTGGGTCTAAGGTGTCTCCTTCACTGCGTTGCAAACTTCTGACAGAAATTATAATACCCTTTGCTCTGCAAGAGTATAATAATATAGTAAAAACATCTGAGAAGACAATAAATTCTTTCCGGTAAAGTTTTTCGCTTGAAAAACACGGCAATGTTCTAAAAACGGGTTGTCTCGCAGCTATTTTAACAAATAACAAGGTAGCATTTTTAAAAAAGAATAAATTTCCTAGCCCATTTTTAGCAAAAGCCCCTAAAGCGCAACTTTAACAATTATAAGTTAAAATCTGGAACTTTTATAGTTATCATTAATTTACAATGATTTTGTATAAATTTATATTGAGGTCAGGTATTTTTACTATTAACAAAAAATCACGAGGAATTTAATTTAATATTCAACATCTGAGATTTTACTATATTATTTTTAAACAAGAAAAGAAGCTTATGTACATATATACCCTTGCAGTCATCAAATACATACATATGTATTTACATAAGTCGAACAAAAAACAACATCGAAGCTATGACGATTTTCCTATTAATTTTCCATATTTTCGACTATTGTTTATATGGCAGCTATATGACATGGTTATACGATTTCGATAAAATTTAATTCGTAATTCAAGAGTGGTTAGAAAACTCTATGTTCCAAAAATTATGCTTCTCTGATGAAAAAAATGGATAAGAATTAAGGTGCCAATCAAAAATAGTTAATGCATAGTTAAGCTGTAATAAGCTAATACATTAATTAAACTGTTAATATCTGTATGCAACCTGTTCAATTAGAATTTCTTTTGACACTCACACCTCTTACCCTTTTTCTACTGCTGTAAATTAATTCGTTTTGGCGCAGAAAGGATTTCGGCTTAAAATCGTCTTCTTGCTCAAGTAAGCATACATACATACATACGCACTTACTTGTTCTCACACACGCAACCGTATTCTATTTTTAAATTTTTACGCTCTCAACTTTGTGCGAGCGCGCTGAGAGCGAGAGAGGATAGAAGAAGATAGAGAGATCGTTCGTCAGTGGTTAGAGCGGGATGGGGATGTGTCGCGTAACCGAAAAATGTGACGCGTAACCGAGAAATGTGACGCGTAACCGAGAAATGTGACGCGTAACCAAAAAAAAATGTGACGCTAAATTTTTTCCAACGCCGATAAAGAAGTTTCACTTCAAAAATTCTTACTCTATTGTTTTTCATCAGATCGACTTGAATTCTTCAAGATGGCGTTTTCTAACTGTTATTGAATTTCGGATTAAATTTGATCAAAATCGGATAACTCTATCATATAGCTGCCATAGGAGGGATCGAAAATTATATATAGAATTAATGGAAACAAATTGATAACATCGTTGTTTTTCATCAGACAAGTATGATTTTTGGAATATAGAGTGTTTTTACGACTCT